ATCCATGAGGCATCTTCTACATTCCCTCATGCGACATTAGACGTGTGACCTATGTTCGGCTACAATCACGACAACCTTCAGCGTCTAAGAGAAGCCCAACAGAGCAATCGACAAACGCCGAAATAAACTACAGAACAGGTTAAATTCGGTGTAATTGTCCACACCAGGTATCCATGGCATGGACTGTACAATGTTCTGTAGCCTACCTTCAAGAAAGGTAGCCGACAGTTCATCTCGTACTACGTCGTCGTCGTCCTCGCCATATTCCTCGGTAAATTTTTCCTCTAGCCCCAAGGTAGTTTCCGGTGACCCCTTTCTCCCGAAAAGTGGGCCGCCACGCAACGGCGAACCGAGGTCCCCTACACTTGATTCGACATCTCTGACATCCCGTATCCCACCCGTGCCCGCGCTCCCTAGTTCCTCCTGCCAACATCACAAAAACAGCGAGTTGCAACAACGCATGTATAAGGGTCTCCTCAAAAACTACCAGATACGAGTCCCTTGCGGCAGCAGAGGGTACAAATGAACCCGAGAACTTCGGGGGAACGCTGCCAAGAACTCTAGGTATCTACAACACGGCCGAAGTTTAGGCATACAACAGATGACATGTCCCACTTCACAAGTTTTTTTTTATATATGGCGCTGGACACTGTTCGGCGCGAATGGGAAGTGCCCCTACAATGATGTAAAGTGATCTACACCTAGGGGAAAGACGACAGCAACAAAACTTGTGATGTGACTATGTACCACGGGCGCGCGCGGATGAGGTCGTACATGTCGAAAGTGGCGTGGTCGTAGTATGCTAGAGTCGGAACGTACATGTTGTCTGACAACTTCTAGTCTAAAGTGTGAGGTGTGGGGGCCATCACGACAGACCCCAGCGCCTGCCACCAACTGGGAGGCGATACAAGGGGATACGGAACAGAGCTTAATCAATACGGACTTTCACCGGTTTCAGCGTAGCAGCTCGTTTGGTCTGCCTTCCGATTGCATCTCCTTTCGTCAGGATCTACTGCCCCAGAATGTCTTGAGCGCTTGCTGGAGAGCTGACGAATGAATATTGTCTGCGCTACAAGCTTGAAGACGGGACGAATATCGATCACGCTCGCCGTGTAGTTGTTGGTAGAGTAGAGAGTTCTCTATCAAAGGCACGGGCGCACGACCGAAAGCGGCACGCATGCATGTCGTGACATGAATAATGCAAGCGGATCAACCTGTGTACGAATCAAGCAGTTGGCGTGCTGCGGTGACAAGACGTTTCGACGCGACCGGTGAACCACGGCAAGAACGGTTGTTTCAGTGCCTCTACTTGCGTTATCTGATAAACATCCGCACGCACATACCAGAATGGGACGTTCATGCTGCACGGTTTCCGATCGATACCTTTACGACAGAGAGGGGGTGGCAACGAGGAGGAGGAAAAATGGATCGACACGAGGAGGTCAGAAACACGAGGGGCGAGGGGGGGGTTGTAATGGGAGGTGCGGTGGTTTGTTTCACGTGCCTCAAAATGCATTCCTCTCACCCGGTCGGCCTTTGGGCACATCAGCGTTGACGCCCAAAGAATAAGGTTCCCTGTCGTGCAGTACATACTAGTTCACATGTTCGGTAGAAATGTATCGTGATCCATTTTTTTTCTTAGTTATAATGGCGCCAGTCAGCCCATTTTTCGTGGTGAGACGTGTATGTATGTAGAGCACTGCACTTCAGTATATATTTTTTTTCGTGCAACTACAACCACCCAGGGTCACACATGAGGGGGTCAACACCAGGGCTTTCTTCTCTTTTTATTTATTTTCATGCCCCACCTTCCTCCTGCGGTGCGTGCTGAATTTTATGTTTATCGCGAGAAGCGTCCAGCCGTCCCTTTCCCTCGTCATGCTGACAAAAATACCACGGAAAGTGGTACATGCGTTTGTGAACGGAGGAGTGCCGTGGTACAGTGGGGGGAATTTTTTTGGGCCTGGACTCGCCCTCCCGTTCGATCGGCCACGTTGCCTAAAACTGCCCGTAACCGTTTTGGTTGCGCGTTCGACGAAACGACATTCTGGGAAGCTGCGGCCTGCGAGTGACTGGTGTTGTACGCAACAACAAGCATCATTTCCGTTGTTGAGTGAAGACATGCATATGTAGAGGCGCAGCTTTTCTTGCACATGTGAACGAGAGGGCGTACTTCTTATCGTGTCATGGCTTCAAGAAGGGTAATGCCGCCCTTGTGCCCATCTCATGTTGGCCATGTTGTCGTCACTCTTCGAGCCATGCATGTATGTGTAGTCGACACCCTTGCCACAACTCTCGTCGAACATATAGTCTATAGACTATTGGTCGCTCACCAGAGTTGTCTACCCCTACTTTCGAGACGATTCAATGTCCTGCTACAAGCTACGAGACCCCATGCTTTACCTTCGTTCTTGCAGTTGTAGTGATGGACCCGTGTGGCTTGTGCGGGGTGGCTGAGAGGGGAGTTGTTTGTGAGTGTGTGTGGAGTGGGAGCGGCCTGCTGACAAAATGCGGTCGAACTCGTGCCGTTTCGTGATCGATGTGTTTTTCGTCATGTATTTGCTCTCGGCCTCGGTCCCTACGTACGTACACCGTCCTTCGGCACTATTTTGGACTCACCCCAGCCGGGATCACACAGGGACAAAGGCTTCAGAGCAGTTCATTGAATTATCCGCCTTTCTTATGCGGTGCTTGGTGCGTTCCTTTTTTCGCGAGAAGGAATCAGTCCGCCGTTCCGATCCCATGTCAGCGGTGAAACGGTTCATGTTCTGCGTACAACGCCCAAACACGACTGTTTGTTGTATCGCATTTCCACATCGGGCGTATTGTGAGAAAATATCCCAGTTCGCGTGACTGCACCGAGGTTCGAACCCACATCCAAACGTGAGAAGGTGGCGAGGTTACCTGCTGCACCGCTCATGTGTGGGAGGGGCAGAAGCCGTACGGTAGGAAGCGAGGGCGCCAAAAAAATGCAGCCTACGGCCACCGCCCGGCGGTATCACGCACTACTATGCAATAGTCGTGGAAGAAAGAATTCAAGGTTGTTTTTTAGGAAAAAAAAACAGAAACAGAAAATGTTTATGTGCCATGCAAAACCCAGCAACCCACAACGTAGTCATGAGGGACTCTACAGTCACATCATGCAAAGAGAGCCAGCATTGCAAGGCCGGCCAGTTGGCGAAAAAGAAAAAAAAGCACGGCGATTCCTAATAGGCCACACCGACAAAAGAGTACAACTTCTACATGAAACATACATAAATAGGTGCTTAAATAGATCAGCCGCAGGATATCACCCCCCTGCAAACAGAAGCCCAGACACACGCAAATACTACAACAAATGCCCGGACACCGTAATAGCTCTTCCGCCCCCAGAGGGCGAATAAAAGAGAACAAACACAACCAGAGCACGTGGTTGTCCCCGCTATCCTTAAGCAAAAGGTGAAATTTTCCGCAAGGGAGGCCGCTTGCACGAAATAACCACCACCTTCTCCCTGCATGACTGGCGCGTCAAAATCATGGCCCGGCAGGTTTAGGCTTTTAGCGCCTAGAATGTGCGGGACGAACACACCAAGCCGACGACAACGACATCAAGGACAACGTGTGGCAAAGACGAGATGGCAACACTACATAACACTTCTCGCGGACGGCGGTGTCTCAAGGACCCAAAAACAACGTCGAGTGCGCCAGGAAAGGACAACCAACGCAGACTAGGGCCACTAACCAAGACTGACAGAAACACATGCAAAGTAGGGGGGGTGCCAATTCCATGGACCACACGCGCAAACACGGAGCCCCCAAGGCCGGGACCCGCGCCGCCCAACAACGAAAACACGAAGAAGCTAAGCCAAAACCGCCGCGGCAGCAACAAGCGCAACAACAATAACACCCGTTTTTCGCAACACACTCCTGTCAGCAAGCAAGGATCTCCTGCTGCCGGAGCTGCTGGGCAGTTCCGAGGCGGCGGCGGGAGAAGGGGTGCCTCCTACGACCCCGGCGGGGGACGGTGTGCCTTCTCCCACCCCAACGTCGGTGTCCCCGCTGGTAGTGGAGGGGGGTGGGGTGAAGTCCGTCCCGTCGCATGAGATTGTCAAAGTTACCGTCCCGTCTAAGGGCTCGGAGCCGCAGCCGTCGCACTCCACAACGCTCCACGCGGCCAAGTTGGAGATATCGGCAGGGTGGTCAGCGCAGTTTAGCGTCTGTTTTCGACGTCGAGCAGGGGGCGAGACGCCAGCGAGAAGTCGGAAAAGTGGTCAGTATCGAAACGTAAAACCGAGGGCGATGCATTGCGTTGAGATGGTCAGTGGCCGGTATCGTGTGGAGTGGTCGGAAAGAAAGCCAGGAAAAGAACGTTGACCTTCAACTGTTGCTTATCACGAGCCCGGAAGCAACAACGAAAAACGACTGAACGACCAACTCCGACACAACACCGGGTTGAGGATGAGGCTCTATCGTGAAAAACACGCACACAACACAACACCACCATCGTACATGCCTTCCATCACGCACCACAAACACTACTGTACTGCCACTGCCGAACTGCTGTGTCGCTGTTCAAGGGGGTGACCCCACCACTTACCCCGTAGAACGGAAACCCTCCTCCCCGGGGAGTGATGAGCCAGAAACCGTCGTCGCACACCTCTAGCTTTCGCCGTCCCTTCCCATCAGCAGAGCGAGCCGCCTCGTTCCGACGGATAAGGTCGTCGGCCAGAGTCTGGAGAGCCAGCTCTGCGTCGAATCCATCAAATTCGTGGCAGGGGCGAGAAGAAGAAGGGGGTGAAAAAAACAGCAAGAGGGCGGGTGGCGGTCTTAGGCGTACTACGAACCTGTACGAACCTGTAGTAAAGAGTTTATTCGTCGTTTACCAAGAATAAAGCACCGACGGGAAGTAGAGTCACAACGGTTGATGTCACGCCACTGGCGCCATTTGTCTCTGCCACTGTTCCTTAGTGAAAAATGCATCGCGGTGTGACTCGATTCACTTCGGTAGGTCCCCTTGGGGGTGTGATTCCAGGTGTCATTTCACTCCGAACCATGCCGCGTCTTTTTCGTCCATCTCGTCCCAGCCGTCAAACTGACTAAACGACATGATCGTATTCCCCTTGCTCCCGCTACCCGCCGTTGAGGGTGCCACAACAGGGACTAACGAGTGCAATGAGAGACCCTTCAGTCGATCTGAGACTTTTCACTCGTGCTGCAGGTTTGGTTTCATCTAGCCCAGGAAGCCTCAGGCACGAAAATAACCAAGAAACCACGCCGATCTCTACGAGACACATAATACGGACACACATATATCGCACCACATCCCCATCCCCATCGCGGTAGCATGCCGTACCGTACCGTACCGTACCGTACCGTACCGTACCGTACCGAATCACGCCACGCCTGTCTCAAACCACCAGAGCAACCGCCACAACACAACCATGGGAAAATACCACACCATCTCACCGTATTCCTCGCTCCATCTCTCGCTGCCCGCCCTGTCTTCCGGGACTGACAGCCCCCTGCGGAAGCGGTTGCGGTTCACCGGTTTACCGGCGTAAAACGTCCAGTACATGTTCCACGCATTGTTCCCGCTGAAGAAGTCGCCCCTGGTGCCGTAGTCCCCCTGCTGCACGTACACCCCCGCGGCCGGGCCGGTCATATACACGGTGCCGCAGATCGCTGCACGGAAGGCGTGGTGGAAAAGCAACGACGATAAACAACACCAAGAGAACGCGGATTACGAGTATGAGAGGAGAACGGCGGGAGGGGGGTTCAAGGGAGCCAGCCACCGAGGGGGTGATGGGATGGAGAAGCAACAACAGCATGGAAGTAATGGAGGTTTGGGACGGAAGAAGAGAGGTGTCAAGGGAAAACAGCACCGGACCGGAAGAGACATCATCAGCGCACAAAATGAATTTCAGAGTTCAAAGATCCGATACAAGACAAATGCAAGACATCTCTATCACGGGATGGAACGGGAAGCCTCAATCCGACACCGCAGTACTCCTTCTTCCGCGAAGAAACAAACAAACAGGCCAGCGCCTTCGGGTTTTCGAGAACGATCATGCCGAAATAAAAACATAGGGTTGGTTGCCGGTCAGTCCGTCCTAGGGAAAAAGAACGCCTCCCCCCCCCCTGCGCGCAAAAAAAATAAGAAAAAGAAAAAGGGGGAGGAAAGGCGAGAAAAGCCGAAGACGCCTGCTTACCAGGCAGTGCGGGGGAGGGGGTCACGCCACCCCGCGCCCCCCCCAGCCGCCCCTGAGGCACAGGTGATGGTAGGAGCCACAAACGAGGGGGCTTCCTGCACCCCACACGACTCGCACGATGCCACCAGCCAAGTGTTGGTGCGGATGTCGACAGGGTGGTCGGCGCAGTCAGGCGCCTTCCGAACAGGGCCAAGAGTGACAATGACACGGGGGCGCCGGCGGGAGATGCGAAAATCGACGCCAAGGCAAGGGGGGGGGGGGGTGGGGGGTAAGTTGACAAATTGAGTGATGCGTCCTCGCCAGCAGCAAAACATCGAAAACAACATTGCTAATGAATAAAGCGCACACACATATATTTCTGCAGCGTAATGATCCTGTGCCTCATTTTCTCACTCCACGAAACCATCAAACATCGGGCGAAAATTCTCATTCGGAGCGTCAACCAGATACGAAGTGGTCTATCCAAGACAGGGATAATTGTCTAAGCCACCATGGGCAATAACCGACAATACCTTAACGTTGGAGACAAACACCGAACAAACACGACGAGCGTATGATACGCTTCGAAGCGGGACGTAGGCATGTCCGAGGCCTTCCGTCCCGACCAATGCTCCGATACCCGTCTGCCCTAACGACCCACCCAAACAAATTCCCTTCTGGGCCCGTCGCAACGCACATCCACCGGTAGCAACAAGCCTTCGACGACGGAAAGCGAGAGTTCTCTCAAGTCTTGCGGCAAAGAGAGAGGCCAGTTGCCAATCTGAATCTTACCCCTAGGACCGGGTATCCGTCCCCTGCAACTTGGGTTATGATCCAGTAACCGGAGGTGCAGATAGCTAGTCTTCGAGAGGCGGCCCAGGCGTGGTATCTCTCCTCCAGAGCCGACGCCATCACTGCAAGCAGCGCCGGCACGCATTATTATATTGGGGTTGGCAGCCGTGGGATCGTTAGGGTGACAAACAAGCAGCAGGTGGCAAACTCATTTGAACAAGCCTCGGACATAAACTATGTGGGAACAAAGGAAGCAATGGTCGCCTTCGTGGAAACCACCGCACGCATCCAGCAAGTTCGGCACGCGTGAGACACAAACCAAAATAGCACCGCCCGAGCAGTGTACTTGCGAAACTACCGACATCGTTAAATGTCACCACGTTAGACCATGGCAAAGGAGACACAGCTAATGGTCAACAATTTCCATTCTGTAGGTAACCTTGATGATCACTCACATGCCGGCTTCCGTGTTGAGCACCTCAACCAACATCCGGAGAGAGGTTTTACAGTCTATCGCCAAATCAAGTCGTAGGTTTCAATTCATTGTAACCCTAGCCTACATGTACCGTTGTATTCGATCTCCACCTCGAGTTGCAACAACTCGAGATTTAAACCATTACGTGCGAGACAAATGATCCAGGGCTACTGAGCGTTCATCTCTCTCTCTCTTCTTCTCTCGCTCCCAGCCAGCCTGCCCCCATAAACACACACACACACATCAGGGGACGCGATCTCACCTTCCCCGGGCAAAAGGCGCCTCTCTCCTTCCCGCTCTTCATCCGCCGAGGACAGCAATCGACGGCTAGAGTCGGCCAGCTCGAAGTACAGGTTGAACGTGCCATCATCGCTGAAAAAGTCTAGCCTCCCACGGTAGGTGCCGTTGGCGGTGTAGTTGCCAGGGAAGTCGCCTGTCACGTAGAGCTCCGTGCATGTGGTTGCTGGTCCATCAAGACAAGACGACCGGACAGAGTCACGGGGGGCAAAAGAAAAAGAAAAAAAGAAGCAGAGTCGCAGGGTCAAAATCGGTAGAGAGGTACGTGCATGTGGTTGCTGGTCCGCCAAGAGGAGGGGGGGAAAAATAGCAGAATCGCCATTGACAACGACCGGGGCCACGCAGCGTTGAAACCACGCATGACCGAAACATGCATATGACCGAAAGCATACAAGACCGAAAAACACGAAACGAATTCACAGCGCTGTACGATGACCAAACCGTGTCTCTACAATCCCCCCAGCACCATCACGCGATGATATCTCCCGTGCGGGTAGCAGGCTCAACTTTCAACAAAGGACACCGCCTGTACGGAAAAGCCAACACGGAACCGAGCTACACATACGAGCACCATGCAAGACACGACGCTTGACAGCTGACGGCATAACTCACAAGAGGATCCGGAGGAAGAGCTGCCGGGACCGGGGGTACCCACAAAGTCAAGCGCCACGGGGGCCGGGGTGTTGAAGCTACCCCCCCTCTTGAGATTCGCCGGAGCCCCCGTGCAGGACGCGTCTGGCTTGGAATCGGCGGTTACAACCTGAGGTTTTGCACGACAACACGCCATGCGGCGGAAGTGACGCGGACGTTTGAGATCTGCACCGCAACCGCAAGAGGAGGCACGGCACCTCAGGCGAAGGATTCGAACAGACTCACATAGATTTCGATGTTTCAAACCATTCCTCACGTTGCAAGAATTTGACGCAACCTCATCGAGAACGAGCGGAAACGCACCCTCTTGAGAGGCCTTATCTCCAATGTGTGTGTATGCTTCTGTCTGTAGTAAAAAAAAGACACATCAAATGACAACATGATGCCGATGCAGACGCCGGACAGTAGTGCTAGCCGACTACCTTATCACGCCGCCAAAAGTCGCACACGTGCACACACCTCGCAGTCTTCGCAGTCCAAGTAAAGCCAGTCCGAAGACACGATGTCCACCGGGTGCTCCCCGCAGTCCATCACCTGTCATCCCAGAAAAAAAAAAGGACACACACACGTACACGCGCACGCCGAGGCACTGCACTTGAGGAAAATGCCGCGTCGTCACTTGGGGCGGCGAATAGGTATGAGGGATAGAATAGAGCTTCACCTAGAGAAAGAGAACCAAAATGGGACGGACGAGTGTACCGAATCCAGCAATATTGCTGCTGCTGAGACGTGCTGCGGCCCAGAGAGTCCGTCCGTGGACGCCAGAAGCCTGCGATTACGGGTGGGGCCCGCAGCAATGACTAGCTGGACCTTTGAGGGTGACCAAGCACGGCAGAGCACAGCATCGCAGGCAGAATGCGGTCGTGTCGACCACGAGCTAAATAAAATACCGCTCAAAGACTAAAACAAAACCGAACACATGAAGGGTTTCGTGGTCAAGTACTGCTGTATTCCGTATCAATCAGTCATTTTCAACCCTCTAAAACCTCTCAAATGTTACGATAGTCTTTTCCGTACGACGGCGACGACCTGAGCACCGTGGTACAGATAGCGTCGTAATAGCACACAGGAAAGGTAACAGCTCAACAGTGATGTTGCCCAATTCCAGCGATAATCGGGGCAAAATCGCGTCAAAATCAGGAAGCAGCAAGAGCAAAAAACAAAAAAAGACCCTGTCGGCACATCGATCGCCCCAAGCCAGAAGCAACCCAAAGCATCGTGAGATCGTGAGTCAATGGCGAAAAAAAAATCAAACCACGAAGGACTCAGGCTTCTCCTCAACGACCCCCCCCCGCGCGGGGAGAGGGGTACTTTTGTTCACCTACAGAGAGTTCCAATAGCAACCATGGGATAGCAGACACTCGGGGTTTTCCACAACCCCCCAAGTATTCCATTATCCGAAAAAATGCAATCAGCGATATATACCCAAGGCTAAATAAAGAGGCGCTTCTAGCAGACTGTGAGCGGGAAGATAGTAATGTCAGCGCCAGGTTCTTGTTGGTCTCTCACCGCATAGGCGGGGTATCTGTCATCCACGGGAGTGATGTACCAGTACCCGTCACACGTCTGTAGCCCACGTCGGTCGTGCGTGTCACGCGTGTCGGGAGCGAGCTCGGTGGAGAGTGGAACTAACGACAACGACGACGGCGATGACGATGACGACAGTCATTTCAACCGGGGGGGAAAGCAGGAACGGGTCGGAGGAAGGAGGCGAGGGCTACACGGAACCGTGGACAGCAAGTGAAGTGAGTGCGTATCAGTTGGCAAAAGAGACACCGTTCCGCCCGCGTGATGATGGCGGGATTCATCCGCAATATCAGGGAAACTAACGTTGCTTATTGTACCCCGAGCCCAGAGTTCTAGACACACTAGCAGAGGATGAGAGAAGTGCCGGGCCAGCAATCAAGCGCAAACACAAAATGACCAAAAAAAAAACAACCCTGACCAACGAGTACCTCCCCCTCGCCACTCCCGCCGCACCTGCGTCACCCCCTTCAGCGCTGAAATAAAGGCTCCTCCGCGCCCTCCTGCTCAGGGCAGACGCCGGCGGAGCGAAGAACATCCGCCACAAGCCGTCATCGCTGTACGCGTCCGCGGCGCCGTTGATCGAGCCTTCCACGGTGTAGCCTCCGGCCCGCGGACCGGTTACGGTGATCGCTTCACATGTTGCTGCAGGCGGTTTCCAACATTGGGGGGGGGGGGTCTCATCGGTTGCTCACACAGAAGGGGATAATGGTGAGAGAGTGCAAGCGAGGGTCATAAATGGGAGACGAAAAGAAAAAAGAACTACAAATAATGACCACGCGTCCTTTACCAGAGAAATTTTCGCTCTGTAGAGCAGGGGGCTGAGAGGAGGAATCGAGAGGAGCTGCAGCCCACGTGGGGCGCAAAGACATGGTGAAGAGATCCATGTGTGGAAGGGAGAGATCACAAGTCACCCGTTTCATTTTTCAAGACAGACCATGGCATGGCCAATAGACCACACCACCAGCGGAAGCAATGACTCGAAAACCTCTGTAACCCCATAAACACACCCAGGCAGACTCACATGTACCAAGAAGAACTCGACAACCTTCACAACCACCCCCCTCCCCACGTGATATCCTTATCCTTAGCACAGAAAGGGAACACAACAAGGAGTCACATTTGGCAACGTAGGAAGGGATGACTGGCGATCGGTGATCGGTCCTCCGGGAACAATGCTCGAGGACGCGTGGTCAACGGCCTAGCCTCTAAGGCACGCCAAACATGAGAGAGAGTACGCCCCCCTGACTCACATGGACCCGCTCCCGGCAAAGTGACAGTCTCTTCGCCCCCGGCCACTACCGGCGACACAGGCGAAGGCGTCGCGACGAAGGCGTCGGTGCCAGTGGCGCAGGTGATGGCCTGTGCGGAGGTGGCCTCTGTGCCGACGCAGCCCTCGCAGGTGACTATCATCCAGGCGGAGGAAGACGCTATCTCCTCGGGGTAGGCGGCGCAATCGGCTACCTGTTGGGGGTGGTAAAGGCAAGGGATAGGGGGGGCAACGAGGATGGATGGATGGAGGCGTAATTCTGTTGTTTGGGGGGGGGTAGGGTGTATGTGTGCTGTTGTCCCATGTTGTTATTGCTTTGGCTGTATTCTTCGTTGCTGTTGTTGGTGGTGGTGCAATTTATTGTTGTTGCTGATGTTCATGTTGTTGACCTTTTGCTTCGCTTTTCATCTGGGAGATTTGCTGCCATCGTTCGGAGGTCTTACGCCTTCACCAAACGTCTCTCCAGCCTGAGGGCATCGTCACCAGTCGACACGTTTCACAGACACCAGGGTCTCAAAACAGTGAGTATCTCATGCCCCCAGCCCCTCCATTGCACCGATGCATTGTTAACGGGCAACATCATAAGGCGAACACGAAGACATAACACTTGTTACGCGCCTATCTCCCATCATCACACAAAGGGGCACACCGCTTGACGGCAACAACATCACCAAAGGAAAAATAAACTAGCACCACCAACAACAAGTCGAATGACTCCCACCAGATTGACAACAAGCAGAGACGGAAGGGGGTCGCTGCTCGATATAATTCTCACGTTAAGCTGTGCGTGCCTTTGTTCCCGAGCTCTGTGGCTTGTGTCTTCGTGGTGTGTGGTTTCTGTTCGCATTTTTTTTTTTTCCTGGACATTGCGTGGTGTTTCAAATGCATTCTGCTGGTCAGATCTCCGACTTCTACCATAGAGAAGAACTGCTGCACAATGTATACTGTACCCACCGCAAAGAAGGGATACCCGCCACCGGTGGGCATCTTGATCCAGTAGCCGTTGCTGCATGCCGCCAGATTCCTCCCCGTGGCCTGTTGCCCGGAACGTTCCCCGAAAAGCCCTGGTCGAATGAAGACGGGTGTATCGTTGAACGAGGAGGGACAAGCGACAACACGCCACCATATTAGCAGCAGCAGAGTCAACATTGCGTGCGGTGCAAAACAATATCCGTACACACGAGCTGCGAAGTTTGGAATGTTTATCCAATTTCCAGCAAGAGGTGCAATGTACAATAATGTACTGGAGTATAATGAACCCAAGACGCCGCACACCATGCTCCCCACTTACAGCACCAGGCACACATGAACTCCCTCCCTGTATCAACCATATCCAATCGCGTCAGCAAGTAGGACCCCCTCTCGACAGGAAGCAACAAACGCATCCGTACCCCGACTCCCCCCAGCCCAAAAAGCCTGCTGTGGGGTCTCACGCCCCAGGAGAAGCCCCCCCCCCCCCCCCCCGTCCGGCGGTCTCCGTCGCTTTCTCTTCACCTCTCACCTCTGAGCACTCTTCGCCTCCTGTCACCGTCGTCAGAATCATCATCGGAATCATCGTCCGAATCATCGTCGAAATCATCGTCGTCTCCCTCGGACGCGGCGGCGGAGCTTGCCTCGAAAAAGATGTTGTGTCCCCCGTCCGCGCTGTAGAAGTCACCGCGTTCGTTGTAGCTGCCGGCTACCGTGTAGAGGCCGGGGTACCTCCCGCCGACGTCTACCACCTTGCAAGAGTCTTGAGCACCGACGCCACAAAAATTCACGAGCAGGCAGAAAAAAGGGGAGGGTGCGTACGAGAACTTGCGTGAGAGACTGCTGCTGTGCCAACAGACGAATCAAGAGTCTTGAACCCAGACGCCAGTAGAGCACACGAGCAGACCAGTTGTAGTTTGCCGAAAAGAAAAACTGAAAAAACGCCGCCTCCTTCACATGAAGCTTTCTCGCATTTTCTCTACTTGTACCGCCGGACATGTGTACGACCCAGCACAATATGTTGCATGATGTAAGGTACCGCACCCCCGGGACCGGGTTCTACCTCCACCTGCCCGAGACAGGAAACAGGTGATGGTACAAGTATGCAAGACAGGAAAAAATAGCGCACGCGGAGGGGTGGGTAGGGGGAAACCCTTCTGTGTGACGACGGGATGGAGTAAACGGCACAAATGCTGTGAGCGCTAACTTGAAGTGAAGACAAGAAACAAAAAAAAAAAAGACATCAATGCACACGCGTCTCTGTCTCACCGTCCACGATAATCTCGGGAGCGCTAGCGACCGGCGACGGCGTCTGCTGCGCACCGACTTCGCCCCCATCGTCAGTGGCAGAATCGCCCCCGCCCCCTGCGGACGTGTCGTCTGCGGTGGATGTGGAAGCGGCGGATGGCGAGGGCGTTGCTGGAGAGTCGTCGCTAGCGCACGCCACAGCGGGTACGGCCCCGTTGAACGCCTGCTCTTCGCAGCCCTCGCAGGTGACCTCCAACCACGCGGTGACCTTGATGTCAGCAGGGTGGCTTGCGCAGTCTCCCACCTTTTGTATTCGTTGTGGTGGTGGAGGTGATGGCGGAAAGTAGGGGGAGAGTTATTGTTGGGGTGATGGTGGCAAGAAGGGGGAGGCGGGGGGGGGGAGGGGCGTGCATCTACCATGACCCGACTCTGTGTACCCCAAACGTGCTTCGATACCTGCGACGCCAAAGGCTCTCCCATGGCAGCAGCACACCGGATTCGCTCCCTGAAGTTCCCGGACGGCCACAAGCCCATTGTCCTTGTTTTATACTCTACCTCTTTCCTAGACAAACCTATTGAGAACGTTGTCCGACGTCTGCCAGACCTTCGTCCCTGTATCATACGCCGTCCGACCCAAACCTACTAAAGCGTGTTTCTCCGACTTCTACCAGACCTTTGGCCCTGTTTCGTACTCTCCTTCACACAATCTTCACCGTGTGTGCGTGGGTTTTTTACTATCAGCATCGACCGCGCAAACCGTGTGTGTTTTTTTTCTTCTTTTTTCCCACGGCTTACCGTCAAACGCGGGTATCCGCTTCCCGCCGGGGCGAGCGACCAAAAGCCAGAGGTGCAAGCGCCGAGCCTTCTCCTCGCGGCGCTTCCTCCCTCTCCCACGCTCACCGCCTCCTCGCTGTCGTCTGAGAGAGCAACGGGGTTTCCACATTGAAGACACGGAGGCGTGAACGTGAAGGGCGAATCATCAACAGGTGTTTGTTTCAATGCAAGCAGCAGCAGGTTGACAATCCTGTAACACCCGGAGAGGCGGATGGCTTCTAAAGTCGGGCGAGAGTGCGTGGAAAGAGTCTGCTATTGGCAACAACAACACCAACAACAACAAAAGAGGAACCGCAAGAATAACAGAACCAGTAGCATCGAGATTAACAAGATGGAGGTAGGTCTTGGGCTAGTGTGAGCCGGTAGAGTACTCCGATATCGTAGATATCAACAGGTCCGGATCGTGAACCTCACCAATCGCGTTCCATCCTTTGTCAACTTGTCATGCAAGGGCTGGGATCGTCTCGCACCTAACAAATCCTGAGGCAAGAGACGTCGCCTGGTGGCCCTCCGCTGCCTCCTGTTGTCCTCGCTGTCATCATCATCATCATCCTCGCGCTCCGAGAAGAAGAGTTCCGCAGAACGGTCCTCGGAAACATAGAGGCTACCTCCGTTGCGGGTGCCCTCCTCGAAGTAAACGCCGGGTGTGTACCCGTACCCTCCCGTGACCTGGAGCGTTTCGCACGAGGCTGTCCAACGCCAGAGCGATTGGCGTAGGCGGTTAGGGAGAGCGGATAGAGAGCGAGGTTAGCGAGAGCGGTTGGCGAGGGCTGTTGGGGCGGGCATCGAGAGCGGTTAGCAAGAGCGGTTCGCAAGAGCGGTTAGCGAGAGCGGATACAAGAACGGTTAGCGAACGGAGAGCGAAAACTGTCAGTGAGAGTGACTAGCGAGCTTGGCTAGCGAGAGCCGTTAGCGAGAGCGGTTGGCGAGAAATGAGGGCGGGTAGCGAAAGCTGACAGCGAGACCGGTAAAATCGAGACCGGTTAGCGAGGGCGGGTCCAAGGAACAGTCCGCGCGTGCGGTGAGTTACGTGAAGGAACGGTTGGGCAAAGGGAAGACGGGAACGAGGAGGAGGGGAGCGGTGGCTCGTGGGGAGACCATGCGGACCAGGACTTGGATCTAAGCGATCTGGTTGTGCACATCTTTGCAAGCCCAAGGGCATGAACTGTTCTGGTCGGAAGCCCCCGTCACCCGATCATACCATCATATTTAACACTACTGCTGTAATATTGAAATTGTATGATGCCTAAACCATCGAGCTACCGAGTGAGAGGTGCCTCAGCGGGCTGTGCAGAACTAACTTCCCACGTCGCGATTACGATTGGGTATTGTATGCCTATGATACACTCTTCGGCCTGTGTGCAGGTTGTTCTTTTCGAGGGGGGGGGGGATCAAACGCGGAGAAACTGCCCTACAGTAGTCCAGGTAGGCAGACGGCTGTAGTCTACGTATGTTGTTGTTGTTGTTGTTGTTGTTGTTGTCTTCACATTAAAAACCGTTCCGATCTCTCTCTACCCAGTACCTTCGTATGTCCGTACTGATCCAACACTCGACGCGGTCGATTCTCGTGGTCACAGGTTAACTTACCCTAAAAAGGTACACTCAAATAAACTGGCCCCGAGGGGTCAGCAAGTCAATAGAAATCAACGACAGATGTTCTGGGATCCTCCGCTCCCTCTTCGCGCTATGCGAGGTATCAACTGAGATTAGCAGCCACTATCTATCATGGGCCGGAGAGAAAGAGGTACACTCCCTTGGTTCAATCTTGGTACTTCACAACGCAAGCAGAGACAAGGCCATCTGGCACAGAAAAAGAGAGAAGAAAAGAGAGAGAAAAAAGGACAAAGAGAAAAAAAAGGAGAAAAAAATAAAAATGGAAACCGTAAGGAGAAGAGAAAATATGTGAAAATAAAATGAAAAAGGGCGAGGACAAAGAGGGACCAGGCCGAAATTAACAGGAAGTATGAGGCAGAACAAGGCACACGGTGGAGAGACCACTAACGAACAAGCAAACACGCAAACATGGCCACCAACCAGCGATACATTGTAGTGGTACGAAATCACTACTACTGGGGGGTTGGTGCAATGGTGCAGCGTTGGGGGGGGGGGAATTGGCGAAAAGAAATTCAATCCGGCACGTGTCGTGCCACTCGGTCCGTCTCTTCTCGTTTGCTTTCTTCCCTCGCCGTCTCGTCCGTCTCCTGCCCCCCTCCCGCCCCATTGGTTGTTGGCTTGTGGTTTCGTTTGAGCGCTCGTTGTCGGCTGGCCTCTTCTTCCTTCTCGTGCCAGGAGGTCATGAACCTCTCAGCTCCCTGCAGCACCGCCGCATGCCAGGGTACTCCCCCCTCCACCTTCGCGGCTTCCGTCCACCTTGACTTCGGTGCCGTGTCTTTCGGTACGGGAATTCCGAGACAACTTGGGTCGGTTTTCGTAGATCCGTGGTCGGCCCCGAAGGCCTTCAGGTCGTCGAGCACGCACTTCGGCCAGTTCTGTTCCTGTCCCCCCCTACGTGGCTTCTCCCCCCCCGCCAGCTCGCCGAGCATCAGTCGTTTCGGGAGTCGCCCGTCCGGCTGCCTTGCCAGTGCTCCCGCGAACAGTAGGCGTCGTTGTCGGATCGTGGCTTCAACGCTCTGGCATTCGACCCTCTTCAGCGTCTGGGCGTACGAGAGCTGCCGGTAGGTGTCTTTCTTGCGCTTGTACCCGATAACTCGAAGGAGCAGTCGGTGGTGTGTCGACCGCAGCGTCTGATAGTGGCCGCTGAGTGGTGACCATGTCATGCAGCCGTACAGCAGTGCCTCCATCGCCTCCGCCTGGAGGAGGCGGATCTTGAGTCGGAATGGCGCTTTCGGTCTGTCGAAGAGCTCCTGGTCATATCGCCTGAGGCACGCCCACGCTCCTCTGCTCGTGTAGCTGATCTCCCGGGTGAGGTCGCCATGTTCGTTGTCGAGGCCACCGAGGTACCGGAACTCGGTCGTCTGGGCGTATTTCTGTCCCGCGGCTTCGATAGTCAGTGGTGGAGGAGGCGGGGGGGGCTGTGATGTTGCAGTCGGCTTGTCCTTCGCGCGCATCAGGAGCGTCTCCGTCTTCTTCTCCGACACCGTTAGCCCGAACTCTCCGAACACCTCAACGATGATGGTCATCATTCTCGCCAGTCCTTCTGCAGACCTCGATACGACGCCGGCATCATCGGCATACAGCATCCCCCATACTGCCCTCCGTACTCGGTCAAGGGGTGTCTCCTCCCCCCCCCCCGCTTCCGTCTTCCCCTCCTCCAAGCACACCAGATTCCGCAGAACAACATCATCCTCGCTGAATCGGATAACGACGACCTCGAGGACCTCGGCGAAGAAGATGTTGAACAGCAGTGGGGATAGCACACATCCTTGTCGCACGCCCTGTGTGACGAAGAACCAGTCCGATAGTTCTCCGTCGTCCATGCGCACCCGGGCCCGCATTCCATCGTGGAATTGGCGGATGACTTTGATTAGCTTCGCGGGAATCCCGGCCCTGGCCAGCACCTTCCATAGCATCTCTCGGTCCACCGAATCATACGCCTTCTTCAAGTCGACGAAGCACATGTAGAGCGGTATTTTCTTTCTCCGCCCCAGCTCCTGGAGGCGACGCACGACAAACAGCATGTCGACGGCGGATCGCCCGGGTCGAAATCCGCACTGTTCCTCCGGGAGGATGTTGTTGGCTTCGCAGAAGGCGCTTAGACGGTTGGTGATGATCTTGATGGGAACCTTGCCTACGTGAGATAGTAGCGAAATCCCCCTGTAGTTGTTACAGTTGGACCGGTCACCCTTCTTGTACAGCACCTTGATGGTTGCGTCCTTCCACTCTTGGGGGATATCTCCTCCGTTCCACACCTTGACGAGGATGGTATGGAGGTGTCTCAGGACAACGGGTTCGTCGTCATCGATCTTGAGCAATTCGGCAGGGAGGGAGTCATGGCCGGGTGCCTTCCAGTTCTTGAGGCCTTTCGCTGCCCATGCCACCTCCTCGAGGTCTGGCACCTCTCCCAACCGTTGACTGTCACGTGTCGCTGGCCGCTGCGTCACTCGTTCGATGATGTCTGGGTTTAGGGTGGGGGATTTGGTGTTGAGTAGGGTGCTGAAGAATCTCGCCCACCGTTGGAGGATGTCGTCCCTGTTCCGGAGCAACACGTCGTTCTCATCCGCCACGAACTGCTGTCCCCCCACTTGTCTCCCGCTGAGGCCCACTGATCTCTTGAGGTGTTGGTACAGTCCTCTCATGTCGCGATCTTTGTAGATTGCTTCGAGTTCAGTCACATATCCGTCCAGGTGGGCATAAATGCCCGTTTCGACTGCTGTAGCCACTCCCTTACACGCTGCTTTGAGAGTTCTCCACGTTGCTGAGTTCCAGTTGCCCCTCATCGCCCGGCGCGCTTCCCGCCGTGTGGTAAGGGCCTCCTCCAGCACTGCTCTCGTCTCTGGGGTCTCACACCACCCCTGCGTGCGGCGTCTCCGCGGTTCCTCCCCTAGGGTCGTCCGCGCTGCTTCGAGGAGAGCATTGGTAAAGTCGGTCACCAATTCCGCGGCGGTGGTTGTTCGTTCGTCCAGTCGTGTGTCGAGGTTGAGGAGGAACCGATTAGTTACCGCACCTCGTGCTGTTTCGAACTGCAATTCCCGTCGGTTGAATTGCTGCTGTTTCGGTTTAGTCCGGACTGCACGGTTGTGGGCAAGCCTGCCACCGAGGTTGACGGTGGCTACTACCATGTTGTGGTCTGAGTCTGCTTTGACTGGGCGAACCGGCTGGGGGGTGACAACCACGTTAGATACTCGGCCGTGATGTGCCTGCCTTGTCAGGATGTAGTCAAGTCGCTTGCAATCGTTTCCCGACACACCGTTGTATGTGTGCCATATTCCGCCCTTTCGTGTCTCGAAGAACGTGTTCGTGAGAGCTAGCCTGTTTTCCGTTGCGAAATTCAACAGTAGCATGCCATTGTCGTTGAGCTCATCACGCCCGTACATTCCTATTACCCTTCCGTCCCCTCCGTCCAACCTATCTCCCGTCCGCGCGTTGGCGTCCAATAGGACATACACACATTCTTTGGAAGGGATCCTCCGCACGAGACTGTCAAGTTTTCCCCAGAACACGCGCTTGCTGTCGGCGGTTGAAGGTTCGGTTGGAGCATACGCGGCTACGAAGTTGACCGCTCCACGGTGGCCTGCCAACAGAAACCTCATGGCCATAAGGCGTTCGTCGATAAACTCCGTAGTGAACGTGGATGTCTTGCACAGTGACTCTTTGACGGCTATCCCCACACCATGGACTCCACCAGTCTCCGTGCCACAGCAGAACACCCGGAAACCCGCTGCTGCAAATTCCGTTCGACCTGCCCTCCGTGTCTCCTGCATTCCTACCACCGATACGTTTTGTCTCGCTGCCTCGTGTAGAATGCTGTAGGCTCGCCCGTATCCATTGGCCCCGTTTACAGCCAACACATTCCAGGTTGCTACCCTAAGAAGTTGACCCTGCTGTCTCTTTGGCGCGGCGCGCGCTGCTCTCTTAGCTAGCCTACGCGCCGCCCGACCCCTCCTTCTCCTCCATCTCCCCCTCTTTTTTTGTTTTTTTGCTATTTTTTTGCGAACACTCGGGCTAATGTAATAGTTACCCCGGTTCTTGCCTTGTTTCCCATAGAGTTGTCTTCTTGTCCCGGAGCGGTGTGGCCTTCCATCTCTGGACTCTCTCCTTTCCTCTCTCTGGGGCATACCCCCACGGCGTGCGGTCACTCCGCCACCCTCACCGTGCTCTCTGCTGCTGCATAACCCCGGTGTCCAAGCCGGGGCGTTAGGATCCAGCCTCATTTTGCAGCTACCAAAGCTGGCGGTTCACGAGCTACCCCGATCTCATGACAGCAGTAACTCCCAACCGCCAAACTCAGGATCCCCCTCTCAACAGTGCTAGGGACCGTATATCCGTCTTTGCTGGGTGGTCTTTCGAGGTCTAGATCCACTTGCGGAACCTCGGCCTGCCCCAGGGACGGGGGGGGCAGGCCGGGAACACATGCGGACATGCGGAGTACGTTGTACCACTGCTGTAGAGCATCATCAGGGATGTTACATGCTCTGCAAAATAGTTCAATGGTGCCGTGGTGTTGCTGCCCCTTTCGTCTAATTATCCAGATTAGTATGCATCCTTCTCGTTGCACGTCAGGGGTTGCATACGCGGACCTCTTAGTTCAGCGACGCCACGGCATGAACACAACAGCCAGCACCAGCAGTCGCGACACAACCTGTCGAACGTATGCCAACCCCCACACGAAGGCAAACTAACCTATTTAGGCAACTGCAGTAGAATTATGGGCTCGTGAAGTGCAGAGGAACAAGTGCACACCTACATCGACTATCATAGACACGAGAAGCCTCAGGGCCTCCCGCAATCAAGCCTCCCGCAATCAAGCCTCTACGGCAAGCTCACATGAGTGTACCAGGTACCAGGTCAGGGTGAATTCAGAATTTGGGGGTCCGCGCCAAAACATTAATTCGCTCCTCTCCTCACCAAGTTTCCGAGATTCCGTTCCGGTGGCCGCAGCAGAGCCCACCGCTGGCGTGGAATCGCACCTCCTACCGCCGAGGGCCAAGGCCGTAATGGCCGCCACCGTCACTGATGTGCGTCCAGCCGTCATGGTTGCTCTTGTCCCGGCACTATAGCGGAAACAGCCCGGGAGCGCCGGTCGCTGTTGTCGTTCGAAAACGGAAAAAATGAGATTCTGGGCTGTGACGGCCTCTCCCTTCTCTCTCCCCCTCTGAGCTCACTGCACTGTTCGGACACCGAACCGGCAGAATGTAGTTCGCATTGGAGAGGGCAATAATCTCTGTCCCGTTACTTCTCTTCTTCGCTCCGCCGCCCTCCCTACCTGTGCTGCGCCTTGTTGCGCGGCACCCGGGCGGAGAGCGGAGAGTCTTCTTTTATCGAGATCTCCGAAACCCGATCTCCGAGACTCGCCCCCTGATCTCCCAAACGGTTGCCTCAAGTGCGTTCCTAAGAGCAGCAGTATTGCATAGGAGGAGGTCCGTCAGTGGGACGAGGGGGGGAGGATCGAGGGTGCTCTGTACTGTTGCGTAATGAGGGTACTCATCTCTGCCCTTGGCTGCTGCGGCTGCGTCGGCGTGTCTGCGTTCGTGACCCCGCTCTCTGTGAGTGCCCCGATGGATGAGATTACAACGGCGCCAACTACAACATGTAGTCATGAGCATCGTGGATGTGAAACGCATCATTCCGACATTCCCGTGTGCGCTTTCACCCCTCTAGTGTACCCCTGTCTCTAACCGGGACCTTGTGTCAGAAGCAATACAAGTCGTTCTTTAACCTACCCATGAGAGTACTGCTGTAGGCTAATAGTGCAAAAAGAGACTTGTTTGGATGTGTGCTGCACGCTGGACATGAGATGACGTGCGACAGTCTGCTAGTCTACATACTTCGCACCCGACATGCGCTGTGCCCGCGGCTTCACGACGGGTTTAGTTGCCCTGTAAGAGGGATGCGGCAAAGCATGGAATTGTTAGAGTCGGCAACGAAGACCGTTGGGCATGCGGTAACTGCTGATAGGTTAGGGGGGCTATCCCATGACTACTCTGTAGACAACAGCTACAAGCGTTAGTCTACATGTGGTGGTCGTGTAACCAACTAAGACCGTTGGGCATGCGGTAACTGCTGATAGGTTAGGGGGGCTATCCCATGACTACTCTGTAGACAATAGCTACAAGCGTTAGTCTACATGTGGTGGTCGTGTAACCAATACTTCGCTTTGGTCCCGGCCGACAAGCCCATCTAGGGCACAGACGTCGAGAACAGCAGTGCATTTGAAGAGCACTTTTCAAACACCAAATCGAGCACACATCTCTGGGGATGTTCTTTCCTTTGGTTGCCCCTACGAGATTCTGCGTCATTTTTCAAATCAAACCTACTGTTGTCTCGACATCGCGAATGACAGTCTTTCCCAGTCGGACCCTCCAAATTGAAGCCCCGTGCGCGGTTGAAGGCCATGCTTGCTGGCGGGAGTCCCGCAGCAGTCTGGGCGCGTGTCCGCCACATTCACCCCCAGGAAGGGTATCAATCACTCAGAGAATGAGACAAGTTGAATCGGTATTCCATCCTCGTCATGCGATTTTCACCGGCGCTACTGGGTGCTGGATGCCGCGCAAAGGCACTTCTCAACCGGCTCTATTAAAGAATCCCAGCTTGATTGTATGGCCGGCACTATTGAGGGACCCACACTGCAGCAATGTGCAGAAAACAAGTTGATGTAATGCTGTCATCCTGCGCTGAACCTTTGCATGCTATGATTGCCCCACCTGACCGTTCCCCACGAACCTAAACCTATCTCGAATTCTCTCCGCCAAGCGAGCACCGCTCCAAATTTGTCGGCGCTGATGTACACACGAAGAGATGTGGGGGGCGTTTGAGCTTTTTTTGCGGAAGAGTCCTTGGTGGTGCACCGCACGTTCACAGAGGAACGCTTGCCAACGACATACATGTAGAAACATTTCTTTTGTACCGCGCCGGAGGTACTTTGCAACTCCTTTCGCGTGCTTGAACACTGGAAGGGTTTGGTAATTTAACAATCATGGTCTCATCTTCTCTATGGTATCTGCCCCCCCAGGGACATGCCAAGTCAGGTTTCGGCGGAGGCGTTGCCGACAGCTCCCAGCGAGGGCTCCGACCGCTACATGTACGTGTAGCGATGATGTCTTCGAGGCTCCCTGTCATCCCCGACACCGACGCGCCGCGAAGGTATCTCCGACACCGCTGCTGCTGCTGCTGGTAGCCTTGCTGCTGGTGCTCCTGTTTCCTATTGCATGCTAATAGAGCAGCAGTACTGCTTGTAGGTGCGGCAGTTTCGCTGGCGATTTTACACGCTGCTCACACCGGTCGCTAGTATATGCACACGCCTCGCAAGAAAAGTTTGTGTATCTACACGTCACGCAATCCCCCGCCTTACGCTTTTTTGCGCCTCGGTTTTCTCGTTTTTTGAGGGGGTCCTGTGACTGCGAATCCGACATGCGTGCGTGTGTGTGTGTTGATTCTTGTTTGGCATCGGCCGCGCCAACCGGCTGACAATATGCCCACCCGTCAGTCTCAGTGCGGCTTGCAGTCGAACATCGCCTCTAACAGGCTGATCTGGGGCCCTCTATGTTTGTGTGTTTTGTTTGTCTTGACCTCTAAAATATTCGCCTTCTCCTTCGTTGATTCTCGACCCAACAACAGCGTAGCCTTGCCGTTTCTTCCCCGACCGGAAGCCCTGGATGGGACCATGATCGGAGACGTTGGCTTCGACCCGCTAGGGTTTGCGGCTGAAGACAACCTGGATCGGTGAGCGGCGGAAGACAACTTGAATCATTATGGATCAATGTGGAATTGTAGCAGTTGCCTTGGTTGGACGGGAGGCTGTTTGTCGAGGTTGGGGGCGGCGACGTGAAGTAAGGGTAGGCGGGTGGGTTGTGTGTTTTCGGTCGCCGTGTGAGCTTGCCGCTCCCATGCCGCTCCCACCATGAGCCCTCTCGATTCCATTTCTCTTCGCGACTGCTGTTGCGCTGTTTTTTTTTTTGTCGTCCCTGTTTTCGCAGGTGACGGCGGTAATGGTGGTGGGGGCGATGGAATATTTTTGTTCCCTTGTTTTTTTCTCACGTGCCGCCCCCCTACCCCTCTAACCCCGTCGCTCGATATGTGAACATCAAACGAAACTCCAGGTATAGGGAGGCGGAGCTAAAGCACGGACGCTTGGCGATGGTGGCCCTTGCAGGCTGGCCGGTGGCGACGTTGTTCCTCGGCCTGCTCACGAAGGTGGGTGTGGGGCTAAAGTCAGCGGTAGAATTTGTAGTGTTACACCCCCGCTGGCTCGTTCACGGCGGGTGTACGATGCGCAATCGTGTGCTTGTCGAGAAGGAGAGTGGAGGCCTTTTTTGACGGACATGTGTTGAGTACCGAGGTAGTCGGGAGATGATGTAACGACTCTTTGTCCTTGTTGTCATTTGTTCCTTACGCCGGCGTCGTGAAGGCGAAGACTCCAATCGGTCGTGCCGTGTGTTTCCACCAGGTATATGGCCGATGCAGGAGGCAACACCTAGTGGACGTAACTCACGCGTGTCTCGCACTAACACTCGCACTCCTATGTCGTGGCGATGCGTTTGTGTGAGAAACGGCCCTCGTGGTGTCGATGAAACCACGTTGCCTCATCCATGAAGGGGCCTTCCTCTTGCATCCTGACGATGTCACCGAACCTCCCCTTCCTTGTGCACGACAAACTTAACCAAAAGTGTTGTACAACTGCGCGCACACTGGCGTTCAATCTAGACCGATTGCGGTTCTCGTTTCTACCCGTCCGGTCCTACTCTCTTGTCTCTACCCTAGAGTGGTCTTCACCCCCCCCTCCCCCCCTCGAATCCGCGTTCCCCCCTTTGGTTTACCATGTTGGGTTTTCCAGCTGATTCCCCCGGCGACGGTCTGCACCGGGAACGGCTGCGCGATCGATCAGACGTGGTCGGGCAGTGCCCTCCCTCTCGAAGGTGCGTGCCGTTAGGACGCAAGTTCTTTGGTAGACCCCGGTCTCCGTACGTGCAGTTTTAAAACAGTTGTTATTCACATCGTTTCCGACAGCAGATCGATAGTGGTACATAAAAAGCTGGTGATATTGTGGGGATCAGAGTTTTTATGTCTACTGGCCTACTGGGAAGTGTGGCTCAGTCAGGAGGCTGATACCGTGTATTATGATACATGAGCAACTGAAAGGGGATACACGCAAATATATTGAGGTAGGGTGGGGGGAGCGAGCAGCGGCATGCTGGGTGCTCCGGCCCGGATCAGCAGGACGGCCTTCAACGGTATTAATCCTGTCAAGATCATTTCACCTTTCTTTGTGTTTTCAAGCAAAGGAGCTCACAGTGTCTGTACATGTATCTGGTCGATGACAATTTTAGACTGACCACGTCGTGGTGTTTTCATGACCCAGGACCTGTCGGCCCATGCGGGTTGTGTTGTTAGCTTGCCGCCCAACGCCCCACCCGATATCGAGCTTACCTTCTAGAGACTGCAGATGTGTATTTAACGTTTGGTAAGGACACGAGGTAGAGGTGGCACGGGCACCCCAGGGTACTCGCAATATCTCCACCAAGTACCCACCCAAGAGATAACGAAATCGCACAATTGGATGACTTATTAAAAACACTGGTTTAATACCCCGTTCGATCGGCAGCAATCGGCAACGTATCGTTCGTGTACTGGGGGTCGGCGCTGGCCCTCGCAGTTGCGGCGGAACTAGTTGCGATTCGCAGAAAACAGTCAAGCGTGGGGCGGGTCGGGCCGGACGAGTACAGAGCCGGTGACCTCGGGCTTGACCCCTTCAACTTGGCGGACGACGAGGTGAGCTTTTGTGTGTCGTGTTCACACCTAAATACCGCAGATGACGCAAGATACCACGCCCCCTGGACCGATTTTCAAAGCTTGATTTCTCCGGATGAGAAAGAGTGGCAGCGCCGAAAACGGCGGTGTTGAAACCGTCTCGTCCAGAGCTTCCCGAAAACGTACCGTTTCAGCTATGCATCCTCTTCGTCGTGTAGAGTCCGAGCTCTGAAAATCGGTCCAGGGGGTGTGATATCTTGTGTCATGTCATGTCACCTACGGTAAGACTATATACAGATTTGTAATTTCCTTGTTGGTCGCTGAGGTTCGCTGAGCTGTTCGACTCACCTGAGCTGTTGAGCTAGGGAAACACCATCACAACTGTCAGCCGGCAGCCAGCTGTGGGTTGGTCCTGCTGCCTGCTTTCATTTTGCATCTTGCGTCACCCCTTGATGACACTGCTGTGCTCCTATGAGCCCTCTGCGGAGGGATGGATCATTTGTAACCTTGTACCTTTTCGGTTGTTGTCGGGCTATTTTTTTCGGACGTCGGCCCTACACGCGTTTCGGTACAGTTCTAATGAAGCAGCGGAAATGAAAATACGTGCCGTCAACACTATGCTGTGCCAAAGCAGTAGTCGGGGGAAACAGCACAGTGGGTCAACCCGATTTTGCGATTTGCACGACGGTGCTGTGGAAGACGGCGCTTTACGTACCACGACGCTTTATGCACCCTTTGTTGTCAAGTGTACACAACAGGCGTCCATCTTCAAGCGTCCTGTTTCGCGATGTACCTGCAACGAAAATAATATGCAGATCCGAGCGACCTTTTTTACGGCCCCTCGAGGCATGTTCCCAAAAACAGGCCGAAAATGTGAACTCAATACGAACCTCCTCAATATTTTGATCCCAACAGCGTTTTACATGAAAAATAAAGTAAGACTGTCTTGCTCTGTCGATGCTGAAATTTTCTTTTCGGCAGATGAGGCTGCGAGAGATCAAGCACGGCCGGCTAGCGATGGCGGCGTTCGCTTTCCACTACGCTGGGGTGTTGCTGGAGAAGAAAGGCGTTGTGGTGGGACACCAGCTCTGGGGATCGGTCTGCGTCTACAACCTCAAGTGGGGTATGAGCTCGCTGCCCCCCCCAATCTGCTACCCAAGGCCCGAGGCTGCTCTTGACACGACTCTCAGCTGGGAGATCATGTACAGGGTCTTGTCGGGATTCTTCAAGGAACCCTACTATTGATGCGATGGCGTGGCATTCTAAAGGCGCCACTGGATTCTTCGAAGCACGGTGCTGACCGTGCTATTCGTGCGATGGCGTTACGCGTGGCAAACAAGAGGCGAGAGATGAGTGCACATGGTGGAGCGTTCCGAGAAGGGTCCGAGAACGGTTCGAGAACGGTTCGAGAACGGTTCGAGAACGGTCGTCCGAGCCATGTGCCGAACTCGATTCACACTTTTTTTCATGAGTTGTTTGACGATGGTTGCTTGGACTTTTCTCTCGTTGTCGACCTGTGGCTGCATGGACACTAACTTCACGTGCTGATGCGTGTTTGTTGTGTTTTCTCCAGCATGTCGGCCAAAGTACAATCCATGTGGCGAGGGAGTTTCTAACGTCGCAGGCAGCGCGATAAAAAACGTGGGGGGAGGGGGGGGGCTGAACGCGTTTCGAAAGGTTTCGTGGGATTCGGTGCGGGGGGTAACGAGTCTTCACCATGTAAAAAAATATGGTTGCAGTTGATGGTTTTTTTTTTAGACTCTGTTTGTCTCCAATGTTCATGTCCATTGCTGATTGGTGGGCGTAGCCATTTCGTGTTCGTGGACGCTTATCTTAACCAACAGGTGGTGCGCTTTCGCGTGCAGCCGTGCAGTGTAGCACATGGTATCAAGGCAAGAGTACTAATTGTCGGTGTTTGCGCTGTGGAACCGCGTGGATTTGGAAGACAAGTTTTCGACTGGTCCACGTCCTCATGCTCCTTTTCATTCGGACCGAGTAGCACGCCTCAGAACTTTGTCTGTTGGGGGGGTCTTGAACGATTTTTGTCCGAAAGAGAGAGAGAGAGAGAGCAGCTATGGTCGTGGTGTGAACTTGGCCGCAACTCTCTCCCTCTCCTCGCGATGTTTCGGTATGGCCTGAATCTCTGGTTTGATTTTTTTTTGTGCGACGGTGTGATGGATCGAACCAGACATGACATGAGAACCATAGACTAGATGCCGTCTGTAGTTTCAGGGTTGATGAACCTCAGGCCATGGGGAGTACATTTCCTCGGAGGGCCACATGGTATGCATAGGCATATAGAGTAGAAATAGCTAAAACAGTGTCGAGGTATCAAGAGTATTCGCGCCCATTCACTCCAGAAGGGGGGGAGGGACTAAGAACCTGCCCATGGTAGCATATTTCCGAATATGCGCAGTGTCGGCTTCGGGAAATATTTCGCGTGGCTCCAGCCGTGAGTCAGACTATTGTACTACATGTACAAGACATAATCATGGGCACGTGCGCCGGTGGTCTCGTTGTGCGGGGCGTGTGCGCCCTGTTATCCGGAAATAAACAAACAACCACCAAAGGCGGCGTTGTTTTAGCCTGCAGCCGTGGGGGGGCACGAACATTGCCGGCTTGCGGGGTTTCGCGTGAAATACCCGGAGTCAGTGGTGAAGTGCTACCATCCAATAATATCATATAATATCATATAATATCCAATGTGCTGCTTTGTTTCCAAGAGCAGGCCCCGGTTGCCCGTGGTCTCGTGCATGCACACACACGGACTAAAGCAAAGAGCGCGCGACATCATGTTTACTCGCCTCCGTTTGTTAAGATGTACAGCATATCCACTATGCTGTGCACCTTAACAAAAGTACAACCGGGGTCAAACGATGCTGTACATGTCAACACTGTTTGCACAATGATGCCTCTTGGCTGTTCGTCGGTTGAACGATGGATTCCTTTCGTTTTTGTTGTGTGCGAGTGGTAGAAGGAAGTCGTTATCGTTAAGGTATGTGTGCAAGAAAATCATTTCAAAGAAGCGAAGCGTACAGAGTAGTGAACGGATATGGGGACTACTGTACATGTACCTCTTTTCAGTGGAAAAGCAATACTGACGTTGGGCCTTACGACGTTCATCCCCGTCTATCGGGGATCTAAAAAAGCACATTCACAATGCGCTTTTTCGTTGTCTCCCCAAAGTGTTCTACTTGAGGGCATGCTTCCCTCTCTTCGATTTTTTTGCTATATTACTTCCACGAACTTGGCTTGTGTGTTGTGTCTCTCCTCCCCATCTACTCTGGCGCCAGTCAACATCTATCTACCGTCTGTACACAGCACTGATGGTGTGTTCCCTGCTGAAAGAGGCCGCAAAAGCAAGGCCAGTCGTCATTAGCCCTTAGAAGGCCGTTGCCGTTGGAATCGCGTGACATAGATGGCATTTTGTATCAAGTGGCTGACTCACACTCTGAACAGTGCCGAGTATGATGCCCGCCGAACCCCGTGGCACCCTGCGGCTTAAAACAAGCAAAAACCGCTACTCTACGCTTGACGCAACAGCCGGGGTCACACACACGCGAGAAGGTACAAGATAATCACAGGAAATCGTCAATCATTATCTACGCCGCTGCCCGGCGATGCTTGTCTTGGACCTCAAACCTCCGTTATTAGTAGCGACCGCGCAGCTCGTGCCATCAATCCACAGCCGCACCGCCGACACCCTTTACAGACTATACTCGTCGGTTTCAGCTTTTTATCTATGCAAAACCAGAAAACGAGAGGCAGGACAGACGGATATAAACGCGCACGCAGTACACTCACCATACCTAATTCTTAGTAAGCGCCGCCGTGTGCCCACCCGCCCTGTACCTAGAAAACCTTCCAAGATATCAGTCTAAAAACAGGGAAAAAAAGAATACGCGTGAAACATCAAAAGCAAGGAATCAGCCAATAAGGCATCAGGCTTTCTCCTCCTCTTCCTTCTTGGTGGCTGGCTCGGCATCCTCCACGGCCAATCCGTTGCTTTCGATCTCCCTGATGGTCTTTTGAGTCTTCGCCTCGCCTTCCTCGACACCCGCCTGAAAAAAAAAACGAAAAAAAACGAAAAAAAACGAAAAAAAGAGAGCGTTTGTGCTGGTAATGCAGCTCTCAACCACGGCATTGATCGAAATTCAACACATGCATGCATGCTCATGGCCTGGAAAGTCTTGGCATGACACCCCGGATCGCAGCTTCTGCTGAGAAGAGGCCGTGACCTCCATGTGCGGAAGCAAGCAACAGACGAGCCCACAACAGAAAGACACGCGCGGGCACGCAGCCACAAAGAGGAATAAGAACGGCCCTTCTGCTCAGATGGAAATAGAGCCTTCCCTTGGTGTGGTTCCCACAGAGGAAATCTCAATGGATACCGCTTGATGCTTGTCTACGGATTTATCGCGGACTGGTGAAAACAGGTGCTTCGAAGAATCTAAAGGAGTGCACTGCTGTACCGGTAGAGAAAGAAGTGACAAGCAGTTGCACCGCCGCCGCGGAGCAAAACAAAAAAAAAACGATGGCTAGCAAAATCACGAAAAGAACGGGAATATCGTTTCGCCCGGGTTGAAGTAACGTGCCCATGTGTGCCTTTTGAATGACATCGCATTCGGCCTATATACCCCGTGCTTCCGCCATGAAAAAGGAGACGCAAACACGAAAAACCGTACAATACAGTGTTGGTGGTTCCAGAAAACCATTGGCCCGGCTCCATTCTGCACATCGACCATCTTAGCGGCAATGTCGAAACAGCCAGGTCCCCCCCTATTGTTTGTTTCAAGGGTTGTTTCTTCCCCACCAACATTGTCGGTAGTGGCACCCTGTAGAAAGGAACTGCCCCTCTGCTTCTCGCAACGTTGGTAGGTACTTGTGCCTCTTTGCCCCGTTGTCGGGGGCTAAATGTATTGCCAAGCTCCGTGGGCAACCTCAACATTCCCCGAATCGAGAGTCCGGAGAGAGAACAACAGGCCACCACCTACACCTCACCTACTGCTGTGTCTACACGCATTGTTCTTGAGGTGGTACACGGGGGGGGAGGGGGCTCAAATAACTCTCTACGGACAAAAGCGGACTAACCTGGAACTCCTTTGGCACGTCCTTCAGCTCCCCCGCCATCTTCCCCATGTCCTTCGCGAAGCCTGGAAAAGTTGAGGGCGACAACACCAGGCACAACCAGACCGGACAGATGTAAAAAAAGCAAGCGCGTCGCCGAAGCACTGCAACGGATTGGGCAACACAAACGAGATCTCCCCAACACCCGGCAAACTCGACCCTCGTGATCACGAACATCTCATTCGCTGTCTCTTGCCGACCCGAGTGTCTTCCCTCTCAAAAGGCAAACCACATTAAACACGACGGGAAGCACCGTGATTTTTACGAGGTGGATACAGCAGTACAGGGTCAACGCGCGGAGCCTTCCTTCGAACGCCATGCGAAAACAATTCCGAGGTACCGTAGGTCCAAAACGTCATCACCCATACACCGAGAACAACAGCTGCATAAACCAAATCAGCACTCTACACAAAACAACCGCTAGCTGACAAAACCGCGTGCATGATACATGATGGAAAGACAGAGGGGGCCGGCGGAAAACAACGCTTCAATCGGGGGTGAGTGACAATGTATCTCACCTGCCATCTTATCGGGACCGAGGATCAGCGCGGCGACGGCAATGCACACCGCGATCTCCGGAGCGCCGAGGCCGAAGAGGCCCATGGTTGTTGTGCTAGCCCCGGAGGAAGGTCGGCCGCTGAGCCACCTCGACGACTGTGCTTGTGCCGGCGAGCCGTAGGACGTGTGCGAAAAGGCGTTTTGCCTGTGCGGAAGCGGCAAGCGTAGGGGGGGGTTGAAAGGAGTGTGACGTTACTTGGGGGAATGGCAACAAATGGTGGCCGGGTGTAGGGAAGGAACGCGGCTGCAGGAGGTTTTCGTTGGAACGCAATGGTAGCGTTGGAACAACCATGGAGGTTGTGTGATTGTGGTGTGATGAGATGAGTGTGGGAGGATTGAAGCAGACTGCAACGCTCGTGTCGTGGAGTACGGAGTTGATACGCAAATCGACAAGGCGTCCAGACTTTATCGTCCGGGACGTTTGCCACAGGACAAGGTGGCGCTCCCAATACCACCACGATGCCTCTTAATACTCCGCTTGGGCGGGGTGGGTGGGATAGTGAGGGCGGATACCTTCTCCTCAACAAACAAAAAACCCGGCTGAAGCGAAACGGACAAAAGCGCAGCTGGGCCGGACTTCACTCTCTGCTTTGCCAAGAGGCTGCAGATGAACAATAAACACACAACAACAGTTTCAGCGATCCAGCAGCTTCTCACCTCCCTGCAGCCGCAGGCGACATGGATGCTTGGCGGCCTGCCGCCGACATGATCCCGGCCCGGCCCGCGAGCGCCGGCACGAACGCCTCCGCCACCCTCGCCGCCAAGGCGCAAGCCCACACCAACACGCAGCACGCAAGCTTCATGGCTGTGGCTAAGATTGCTTTGCTGTCTTCTTTCGCGTTGCGGGCCGGGTGGGTCCGTCGGGTGTTGTGTTTGGTTGTCGAGAGAGCCTGCAGTTTTTGGACGCACGGTACAGCGGTACGTCCGAGCAGAACGAGCAAAACATCAACAAAAAAGGGGGTGCGAACGGTGCTTCTGCTTTATCATCGGTGCGGCAGAAGAGAAGAGCATGGGGGACTTGCCGGCGTTAACTCGCATGACTTAGAAGGCTCCAGGCGGGATGATACATGGAGCATACCGTATGACCATTGCCGTGCTCTTCGGCTTCATGAATGCGGCTCGGGGATAATTCGTAGTACTCCGTAAAAACTTGGCACTCAATACATACTGCTGTGGTTTTCGCCTGGATCCTTTACGTAGGTCCTCTTGTGAGAAACATCATCTTGAATTATCATCTTGTCTCCAGCGTTCCTGCTGCTGCGAGCGAACGATGGAATATTTTGCGTGCAGCGTTCCGTGAAGCCCAACACATCGTTCAGCTACCCAGCAGCTGCGGTACTGCAGTGCAACCTGTGAAGGGCAACAGAGCAACAATCCAACGGATTTCATCGTTCCACCCCCGCTTTCTTCCCGTCCTGCAAACCTGAATTTGCCATTGGGGGCGAGGAAATAAGAAAGGCCATCGGAAAAGGGTAACGACACGCCGTGACCCTACTGCTGTAGCAGCCACAACCACAGCACGGGCTGGGGCAGATGAGAGAGAGGAAGGGCAACAGGCAAGCTCTGCCTACGACCGCACACACCAAATCCAGCACGAGCTGTTTGAAGGAAGGAGGGGGTATCATGTGACTCCTCGACCTCAACATGCAACTTTATGCGCCTCCAGACGCAGCTGTTGCTGTTGATTCGAATCCTAGAACCAACACCGACTCCTCACGTGTACAGAGGGCTGCCTGGATGGGCACCAGGGGCCTGGCGATGTGCTACTTCGCTGTTTATGTCGATCAACGCAGGCTGGCACCTCTGCGCGTCTTGTGAGCAGCCAGCTGGCACGCGCTGCGGCGGTTTTGCAAAACCTTGCCCCCCCAAATCGCTGCCGCGCTAACCAAAGCAGAATCACTGCACAAAGCACGCACAAAGCGTCAAACCACCTTCTACGCTCTCGTTCTCACCCTCTCCGAAGAGGCCACCGGTCATGAGCAGGATGCATAGCAGCAAGTGCTCTCTCGCAATGTGCACGACCGTCGATCGATCAACCGGTTCCTTCTTCAACTCGCACACCACTCATATATGTTTTACGGGAGCGTGAGGTTACCAAAGAGCAAAATCCCGAACGGTCTATGGTGCACCTATTCCTATCCTTCCTCTGACACTTACCGAGCTTGGGTGGTCGAGGCACACGAAGCAAAAGCAGAGATAGTAGCAGCAGATCGCAGATGCCAAGGACACGAAGCGTTTGAGCGTTTGCATGACAGCGGGTGGCCTCGCGGAGAGATCACCACCCCCGCCCGTATTTTATAGGAGTGCTAGCCGGGTGCCCCCCGCTGTTTCGTTTCTGCTCTGACGCCGCGCGCTGCAAGTGCTGCCCGGGCTCTTACACACCACCATATAGCACACCATCCCACCACCTCCAGCTCTGCCTAACGAGGCCCTAACATACAACGCGCCCACCGTGCCAGTGATACTTGGTCAAGGTCTATCCGAGTGCTCCCCCCACACCCTGCAGCAAAGATGCCGGCCGCGTCACAGAGATGTATGCGGTTTACCGTCGGCGCCCTCGCATGCAACGCCGCCTGCCTGGGCTTCGTCACGGGTCTCGCCAAGGCACCATCCCACGGCATCTCCACCAGGACGTCCCACAAGTCCTCCACCATCACCATGAGGGGTGGGCCCCTCCGAGGTCTCGAGGCTGCTGGTGAGGCTGGCGGGCAACGTCAAGGCCAGAAGGAGGCCTGGCAGACTCGCGGGCGACGGTTCCTGTCGGTGCTGCGCAGCGGTCAGCAGGACAGGGACGTGGGCGGGGAGGGTGTTGTTCACGGCTCGTCGGCAGATAGCCGTCAGGTGCGTGGCGCGTTTGTGCTTTCCTTTCCCCCGAGAGTTGTGCGAAGTACACCATGTATCGCGCGCACCGTACATAAAAAAAGGGGGCATCACACCAGACAGCAACACGTGTCCGTTTTTTCGTGTTGAACGGCTGTGGAACATCAACAACAACAAGCGCCCCGCCGCCGTCCAATGGTTTGAGGGGGAGCGTTGGTTGTCTCCTAGCATGCGACACGTTATTCTCGAGTTCAGAAACGTCGAGATGTTGGCGGCAACTTGTTGTGCTCCGGGCTGGCATTTTTGTCGTCCAGCCCCGCGCAACAGCTACGGCTGTAGGCGAGCTGTCTCCGAATCCTGCGGCGGTGCGTAGCTCATGATCAATGATTTGTAGGAGCGTCCAAACATCAGAATCTCTGCATGATCCTTTTCTCCATGCCTAGCTGCGACGCGCTGCTCTCTCCTTCCTCTTAACCCCGCTGCTATGACCACGCCCAAGGGTCGTCTCGACTGTCCCGGCGACGACGTTCACTCGGTTCACTGGTTGTAGAGCTAGCTTACCGCGGTGTGCGGCCACGCGCCTCCTTCAAACCACTTGTACGCCTGATCGATGAGTGCAACTTGTAGTTTCAGCCGTATCCGAACCATGGTGAACAAGTTCCGCTCGCTCGTGTGGCCACGTAGGGCTTCTTCGTTGCGGGGCACGGGCGTTGCTGTTCCCGTGTGCTCGACGTGCGGGCTGTGCTGTTGGGTGTGTTTTTTTATTGCGTGGGGAACAAGGCACGCGTCCAGACGTCCAGACAGCACTACTGCTGCGTCCTTCCGTTACGCTACAAAAGGCATATTTAGTTTCACTCCACGTGTCAACAAAAAAAAAAAATGCCTGTCAATGAGTGTGAAAATTCCATCCCTTCCCCCGGTGGCGTGACCGAGGCTGGTGAGACAGATGCACGCCGAAAGGTGTAGGCTGTGTGCCGAGAATAGCGGCGAATAGGTGGGTGGGTCCATCACAACCTTACACATGCGGCGGTATTTGAAGAAAAATAATACTTCTCCTTAGCTCGCACGTGTGCGCGCCCTCTGGGTGTGCTTTGATCGAGTTCCATGCGGCGGGTTTCTTTGTTTGATGATGGTCCCTCGTTCAGCAGTACTCGTGCGGCCACCCCCAGGCCTCTCGCCAAGGTGCTGCTGCTGCCACGCCCATGAACCGTTCTTGTTGGCGTAGCCGTAGCCTCATGGACGACCACACACTGAAAGGAAGGCTGGCTCATTTTTTTATGCATCCACTCACTGCTGCAACGTAAACAGGAATGATTTACCCATGTCATGCTTTTATCCGAACGTTCAACTTCAACTTGCTCTGGTCTTTCGGCCAAGAAGACAGAAGGTTCGGGTTGAACATCGACGGAGCGGGTGCACCTCCTGAGGGGCTCATTTCCCGACCGGGCGTTCCCAAGTGTGCTCTTGACAGCAGAGTAGTATTGTCCATAGATTCCGTGAAATGCACATACATGGTACTCTCCGGAGTTCCGGACCTCCTTGTTGTGGAACGATTTTTTTTAACGGTCTGTCTGGCTTTGCCTTGCAGTATCTCTCCTTCCACGCTGGTGTACGGTGTGAAGAGACGGACTGGATTTGTAAATTTCCTGATGGCCATGTAGTTTTCACAGAACCCGAAGTAGGACTCCAAAAACTCTCATGTGTAATCTGTTCCAACTGCGAGAGTAATTTAGGCTCGAAATTTCGAAGTGAAGCAGGGAGGCGGAAAAAAGAATTCCTTTCGACACCGGCTGGTGCGTCCCGAATTGTACCGAATGGTGAAAGAACCAACGTGCAGGATACGTTGGATGTACAAGAAAAAAAAGGAAGTCAAGAAGTACCTTCTCAGCGGTGGATCTTGCACTACATCTACTACTGTGAAGTACATTGCAGTCTGTCTACACTCGACGGTAGCTTCAAAATGATGCACCTGCGCCTCGCCAAGACGTTGACTTTTCTACTCAGCGGACCGATGTGACTGTCTCACGCTTCTGTTGTAGTTTAACGCAGCCGAGACTTGAAATTGAAACCGTCAAAGACGCCGTTGGCAGCTGCCATTCTCTCGAGCTTCCCAACTCTGTTATCATACTACATTGAACAGAGCTCTTACGCTGTGTTGTGGTGTTTTGGATGCTGTTCAGCATCAAGCGGTTTTTCTGCACTCACATGTTTCGACTGGCTTTGACCTCTCCATCAGGAGGATTTCAATCATGACATGGCCTAGATCTAGAGACGAAAGATTCGGAGCCAAAACATCTCTTTCGTATACAAGACTATGTGAGCATGTGTGTATTTCAAGTTCGAATTTTGTGCTTGCCCCAAAACAACCTAAAACTTATTTTTCATGTGGCCGAAACACAGCAGCTTTGAAACAAGGTAACAAGACAAGTGCAACGACATAAACACGGACGCCGTGCACAGCACCGAACGAATACCCCGAACTAGGTACTCTGGTGACAGTTTTCTGGCGTGAGGACATGTGTTCCCACCTGGTAGCCCGCTTCGCTGCCCCTACCGTTACTCTTACTTTTATCCCATTCGGAATTTTCCTACCTAACACATCCAACCCCTCTTGTATGTCCTTTTTTGCCGCCATGCACCCCCCCCCCTCTCCCGGTTTTCCCACAGAGCTCCGAGGCATTGTCGGTTGCGGTAAAGGTAGACGGAGGCGCACAGAAGGAGACCCCGGCAGCGGGTGGAGGGTTCTTGAAAGGCTTGATTCCCAGCAAGTCGGAGAGGAAGAAGCTGCTGCCGTTGGCGGCGATGTTCTTCTGCATCTTGTTTAACTACACCATCCTCAGAGACACCAAGGTGGGGAGGGGGGCGTTGCGAATGGATCGTGGTGGATGAGCGGAGATTTTTTTCGTCTCGCTGAGAAGTTGCCGTATTGTTTAGAAAGTATACAGTCTCACAGAAAGACTACCCATTGGAGATATAACCACAGTCGAAGGGTAATGCTGAAGTCTTTTCATTTGAGTGAAGGGAAACCGGCTGGAAACTGGGCTTCTTTTGAGTGCGTATTGTTCGCACCACTTGGGGGTGGTGGTCAGGGACTGTTTTTATTGTATCGCGCACTACTGATCCCAGAGTGTGCAGGCGCGACCCCCGCACGGTAGTTGTTGACTGCCGTGTTTAGGTCATATGATACTCCCGTCTATCCTTGACTTGTCGCGGCACGCCAGCCTTTATTTTATGGCAAGGAGCCAAGAGAAATTGCAGAGGCAGCTCCGCCGACTAGTATACGCATCGCCCCCCCTCGCGATACGTATCCCTTGCTCTCTTTGTTGCCTTTTTCTTTACCGCTTTTGCCTACCTCTTTTCGCATGTGGGGACTTTTGAAATGCCTTTTTGACGTGATCAGATTCAAAGGGGTGTTGGTTTTTCCTTATTGCTAGACGCGGCGCTTGACCGATCGCATCGAGCCTTCGATTGGACCTAGGCTTTCTTTTTTGTGATTCATGTTGTAGTTCCACGCCAAATGCCGCCGCGTCTCTCTCTATTTCCACTCCGTCACACCGATTAGTCCAACTAAAGCTGTCGCCACTCACCGCTGTGAGCGAGACCAACGCATCACCGGCATTCGACGCAAGATTTTTTTTCGTTACGTGTACAAGCGGCCCAATCATTTCGCCCTTTTTTCTAATACGTTCGATAACTGGTAAACTGTTTCACATTTCGATACCCTTCTCGTTGCACGGTTTGCACAAATTGCTGAGTTAAGGGATGGAAACTTGCCCAAATTGACGGAACAATCGCGCTTGCTGGTTTTAATGGATATTAACAGGATGTGCTGGTGGTGACCGCGCCCGGATCCGGCGCCGAGATCATCCCTTTCCTCAAGACCTACGTCAACCTCCCGGCGGCGATCGCGTTCACGGTGCTCTACTCCAAGCTGAACAACGTCATGTCGCCCTCCAAGGTCTTCTACACGTGCATCACCCCCTTCCTGGCCTTCTTCGCCTCCTTCGCCGCCTTCATCTACCCGGCGAGAGACGCGCTCCACCCCCACGCCGCCGCGGACTACCTGCTGGCGCATCTGCCCAAGGCCTTCGGGCCGTTGATCTCCATCTTCCGAAACTGGACGTACGCGGTTTTCTACACCGCCGCCGAGCTGTGGGGCTCCGTGGTTGTGTCTGTCCTGTTCTGGGGCCTGGCCAATCAGGTGAGGTTTGTGGAGGGGGCTCCGTTGTCGTGTCTGTGATGCTCTGGGACCTGGCCAACCGGTTGGTGTTCGCATGTCCCGTCCCATGTAGGTCGTTTCGGTTGGTATTTATGTGTGTGTTTGTGTTTTTTTTTTCGTACCAATGCACCGGCCGGTGGGACGCCCTTTGAAGATTTTTTTCACGCCCAGAACGGGCTCGATATTTTCCCGTTGACAAACTTGAGAGCTAATCTAAATCGCACCAATGACTGGCGAAACTGGCGTTCACCGCGAAGGAGGGTTGACTCAAGACACTGCCGGTATTGCTTCCCTTCCCCTTCCCCTTCCTGGCATGACCGCCAACTCAATCGCCCACACGGATACCGACACTAACGCCTCCTTGACCTCTCCCCCCGGCTTATGTTTCTCTCCCGACGGTCCGGCACACTTGATGATGGTGATGGTGATGGCGATGGCGATGGCGATGGTCGTCTCTCTCGAAGATCACAACCACGAAGGAGGCTAAGAAGTACTACCCCCTCTTCGGCCTCGGCGCCAATGTGGCTCTCATCTTCTCCGGCCAGTACGTGAGGTTCGTGTCGGCCTTCCGCGCGTCGCTGCCCGCGCACGTCGACAAGTGGGGCGCGTCCCTCAAGCTCCTCATGGGTGAGAGAAACATGAAACATGACGACTCAAATTGCGGCTCGGGCGGTCCCTAAGGCACTGTCCCTGGCGCTAAATTCCACACCCCGCTGGTGCCTCCTCGCAGCAGTCGGTGGTAGATGTATCCGACACGATGCATGGGCGATGATGGTGGGGGAAAGTGTGGTGTTATTTTCGGGTGTACTCGCTCCTCCGCGAGTCAGGGCAAGCATGAAGGACACGGGGTGATGTCCTTCAAAAATTTGGTGTGGTCTGTGTGATGCTGCTCCCTTCGTGTCGGTGTGGCAGTAGCGGCACTTGACACCAAGCCGGTCCGAACGCGTGGCGTCCTTTCTGTACGACGATTGATGGTTTATTCTTGGTGTTTTTTGCGTCTTTTGTGGAGACCAATGCCACCGCCGACCACAAGGACGTTTTGCGTTTTGGTGTCGGGAAACTCAATTGCGGAGGCTTGCTAGTGTTCGGATGTCATAGGCGACTGTGTTCCCACAACACCAACACCAACCACACTGCTGCGAGTTCTTAACGACTGGGGAATACTATTCATTTTTTGTTGACCTGTGCCCGTCCAACGGTTTTCTTGCTAACAACCTTCGAACGGCTTGTCCACTTTCTGCTAATTCTTTCATCGTTTCCCCCCCCCCTTGTTCTTTGTCCCTGCACCTCACGCGGACTTGTTGGTTTTCCCCAGGTGCCGTGTGCACGCTGGGCGTTGCGATCATCGGCATCCACGCGCACGTGCAGAAGAACGTCATGACGGACCCCGAGTGCGTCCCCGCCGAGGTCGGCCAGCCCAAGTCGAAGACGGCGACCTCGATGGGCCTCCGCGAGTCCGCCAAGTACCTGGCCGCCTCCCCCTACATCCGTAACCTCGCTATGCTTGTGATCGCCTACGGGATGTCCATCAACATCGTGGAGGTGACGTGGAAGGGTAACCTCAAGCGGGCGTTCCCTGACCCCAACGCGTACTCGGCGTTCATGGGCAACTTCAGCACGGCCACCGGCAGCGTGACCCTGATGATGATGATCCTGGGTAGGTTCATCTTCCAGAAGTTCGGCTGGACCACCGCCGCGCTGGTCACGCCTACCGTGCTCGCCCTCACCGGGGCCTTCTTCTTCTCTCTGATTCTGTTCGAGGGAGCCTTCTCGCCCCTGCTGGCGTTCTTCGGCACGACGCCCCTCATGGCCGCGGTGTTGATCGGCGCAGCGCAGGTGAAGAAAGTGTTTTATTTGAAAGCGGGGTTGTGCTCATGTTTTGCGTACCTTAGTTGTTGGGGCAATTGACAAGGCGTCCTCGAGAGGACGGAGCATTGTTCCCGAAGGACTGTTCGCGGGTGGTCAATGGTTTCTTCCTACTTGTACCTTGTCAGCAGTGGCTTCGAGCATTTTACCCTGTTCTGGGACGAGGTGTGTGTGCTGTGTGATGGTGCCTGAAGGTTGTGTGTTTTGTTCGATGCAAGTCCAATGTTCGGGTTTCTGTTTCGCACCGGATTCCTGGTGCCTATGAATTTGGCTGTGATTCGTCCATTTTTTAGCTGAGTTTTCGCTCGTGTCCCATGCTCGTTTTTATGTGCCTCCTCAAGTATGCTGCACCACTTCATAGCGTTCTGCAATTGGTATGGTTGTCCGTGAACAGCGCTGTTCTGTCACACCTGCGCTGTCTCGAATTGAGACAGAGCGTCCATTACAGCGTTGCGGCAGTGGCATGCTTCATCTTGCTCTTCTTGCGTTGTTGAACCGTTGCTCTGTCCCCTGATGAACCAGTTCAAACCGTGTACCCAGACCCGGCTGACGAACCGATTCTCTCCTCTTCAAACCGAACCGCTATTAACAGAACATCTTGTCGAAGAGCAGCAAGTACTCCCTGTTCGACCCGTGCAAGGAGATGGCTTACATCAACCTGGACGCGGAGCAGAAGACTAAGGGCAAGGCCGCCGTGGACGTCATCGGAAACCCCCTCGGGAAGTCGGGAGGGTCCTTCATCCAGCAGGCGAGACATCGACACATGTGCCGTATATCCATTGACTATGTCGTGCTAAAATTTTTGTGTGTTGATTCATCCTCTCTGGTGGACTAGCGAAGAACATCTCGTCTCTCTCGCAATGATCTGGTACACTAGATTTCAAACGGACTTGTTTTTTTTGTAGTGGGACAGAACCACGAGTAGAGTGTTGGTTTGGTGCAGAGAACAGTTGGTACGACAGCTATTCGAGCTCCGAACGGGTACGTTCGCTCTTTCCAAAGAAACGAGCGAACGCAGACGTGGGACCGACCGCTGCTTAAGCTGTAGGGATATGTTGGGGATGAGAATGGAATTGTCTAACATTTGTAGAATGAATGCCGTATCACGCATCACGCAACGGTTGGTTCGGCGGGCTGTGACCTCGCCTTGCTTCAGTACCTCGCCACTCTATTGAATAGCTCGTGTCGAGACGTGTTAAGTAAGCGTGTAGACTGCACAGAAACATAGTGGACGTTGTGATGGAATGGCGTTTGACGGCACAACCCTCGCCCACCACCTTTGCCTTTCCGCAACATGCCAGCATCCTACCGACGTCATGTTTTGTGTTGTTCCATACGGGTCTGCCACTCGGGCCCACAGGAAAGTAAGGAAGGAGTGTAATTATTTTTTTTTGTCACTCCCCACAGCCTAGCCCTGACTCCACATCGCTGCCAATTTCACGCCTTGGATTAATACATCCCCGCTTACCGTGGGGTCACCCCTCTCTCGGTCGGCATTTTGTCTTGCTCACCTTGTTTTTTACTCCCTACCCATCGTTGCCAATCTCATGTCTTGGACTAATTTATCCCCGCTTTCCTCTGGGTCACCCCGCTCTTTGTCGGCATTTTGTCTTGGTCCCCGACGCACGAGTCCAAATAAACAAATCAACGCCGGATTATTGATAGTCGTGGTACCGGCTTAGCGGGTAGTTCGTTCCCTGTTTAGCGGGATGCCCTGAAAAGCGGTTCCAGAAATCTCGTGCCGCTGCTGCACCTCGGTATTCAAAAGTAGTGCAAGTAGAGGTCCCTGTTTAGTGCGGGGTGTGTGCGCCGAATTTCACCGGCACTATTCAAAGTACGGAATGACTTGTCATTCACTATGCAGGACACGGGCGCCATTCAAAGTACAGAATGAATTGTTATTCACTATGCAGGACACCGGCACTATTCAAAGTACGGAATGACTTGTCATTCACTATGCAGGACACGGGCGCCATTCAAAGTACAGAATGAATTGTTATTCACGATGCAGGAGACCGACACTATTCGAAGTACAGAATGACTTGTTATTCACTATGCAGGACACCGGCACTATTCAAAGTACAGAATGACTTGCTATTCACTATACAGGACACCGGCACTATTCAAAGTACAGAATGACTTGTTATTCAGTGTGTGCGAGCCGAAAACGCTAAACCGGAAGGATACTGGCAACCGGCACTAAACAGGGACCTCTACTGGGCTTAACACTACCATTCCGGTTTAGCGGCGATGCCCTTAAAAGCTGGTACAAAATTTTGTGACACTTGCGACCGCCATTGCAAGCGGACCAGGACTGTGTGCACAACAGTGGGCGGTTACGAATGCATCGTTTGTTACTGGATTTGGTATGCAGACCCCGTTTGATCTGAAGGCGAAATCCTCTTTTTCTCCATTTCCGACGATGAATGGTACGAGCAGGTGTTGATCGTGTCCCTGGGATCGCTGTCCGCTTCCACCCCGTACTTGGCCGCTATCCTTGTCGGCATCATTGGGGTGTGGCTCACAAGCGCCAAGTCCCTGGGAGGGATGATCAAGAAGTTCGAGGACAAGGAAGACGCGGACGAATTGGCAAAGGGGAAGAAGACCCCCAAGGCTCCCAGCGTTGTTGCGGCGGCGTGACCGTAGCCTTGCAGCAGAATCTCGCGAGACGTTTTTGACGTGTTTCCCGTTTACTTTGATGAATAGTATGAAAGATTCAACACGCAGCCCGACCCGAGTCTATAATGATATCGTAACGGGGACGGGGATGCGGACGGAACACGAGTTAGAGTAGTCATTCGTTACTTTTAAAGGGTTGGTTCGGAATTTTGTTTTGTTTCTTCTGTTATACTTATAGATGCATGCATTTTGTGGAGTACGTTAAAATGCCGGTTGTGTTTCGTCGGTTTTTGTTTTGTGATCTGGGTATTCACTCGGGCTGGGTTCTTGGGATGACGTGGCCGGGAGAACGACGAAGTTCACGTTTGGGATTGGAGCGTTGCGTTCTGTTTTTGTGTGGAGAAAGCCTCACCATTTTGATTCCTTGTCGGGAAAAAAACTGGTTTCCTTTGCGGCGTGCTTTCTACCTCCTGTTGGCGACTGTTTCGGTTTGGCGGCTGGCCTTTGCCCGACGACCGCACACGACAGCCTTGCACTGGAAGAGTTTTCGTTTTGGCGCAGGCAATCAGTGCTTCGTATGTCCGCCCCCGAATAGGCTTTGTGAACCGTTTGACTGGTGAGGTGGGGCTGCTTCCGATGGTAATCTTGCCCAGACCTTTGCCTTGAGGGTGTAGCCGGCGAGAGCCAAGCGGGTGGTGCATGCGCAGCAGGACCGGGTAACGCTGCTGCGGTCTTGGTATTTGCGCGCTCCACCGGCAGCACCCTTTTGTTGAATCAGCATGTTTACCATGTACGCTAGGAGAGGACACCCAGTCGGCAGATACGAGGGGAAGAGGACGTGGGTGCGTTCATCGTTCCTAGCTGTGTTTGTCGTTCGATTTGTTCCCTGTTTGCTGTCTACTAATAATCAACTAAATGAATGATCTCTGAAGACGAGCACGGTGTTACCGTGCCTTTTCTATTTGCGTTAAACATCAACGTTCCGTTAGTTGCGGTCCAACATCTGGCTCAGTTTGCCCGCGACGAACGGACGAAGACTGCACCGGTCGAAGCAAGCGGTCGCTCGAACAAAGCCATATGTTGGGCGAGATCGGTGTAGACCGCACCATCACTTGGTTTATTTACTCTATACGCAAAACAGCCCTCTGTATTTTTGCCCGAGGCTCGACTCTTGGTTGCGCTTTTATCCTGCGACCATCACGAAGGATTCAATGCATCGTATGGGATGGTTGAAACGGTCTTCTGTTTTCTGACGTTTTGAGGACTTGATTCTTCGCTGGTGGCGTATTCTGCGCTGTGACACGCAGAGGTATTCAGACAAGCGTCTCGAATGTGAAGATTATAGCTGCCGACAGGGATGCGGTACAAGGCTTGCATCGGCCGCCAAGGGAGATGTGTACAGTGACACCCTCTCATTTGATATTCTGTGCGCTTGCGCTGTAGGCACGATGCGTACGTTGGGCCTGTTGCAGTTGCATAATATGGCCTTCTTCTTGCCGTTCTGCATGCAGAATGATGACCTTGTCGGCCTTCAACTCAGTTTAGGTCTCACCTGTTTTTTCCTTCGCACGCTGTCACTGCCTAAACAACCCAGTTGCTGACCCACCCGAGATCGAGACAACTTGTTAAGCGCCCAACTGGCGGTACCTGCTTCTTTTACCACAATCTCCGTGCCCTCTACCTCCCCTCTTCATTCACAGATCGAGTGAAGCGCAAAGTGTCTGGAGACGCCGCTGGCAATATTTGGATCCTCCCGCTTCACAAACACCACAAAGTCCATTATAATAGGTACAGCATGCATTCATGCGAATCATATCTGCGTTTCTGTTCGGCATGATCTGGCGTCGAATATCCCGCGTGCGGGGAGGACTGTCACTTGTTTCGGTTCAACAACATGTGTACAGACAAAAGCGCCAAATTCGCCATGCCAAGCCGGAAACTCTCACTGCCCAAAAGCCAGAACACACTGCTCACAACCCCTTCAGCTATCGATTTCGCGACGACCTGTCTGAGGAAAACAAAAACTAACCCATAGCACACTATTTAGTTTTTGTCTCATACACTGCGAAGCACCCACCACGTCACTATGGCATCGAGGGCGACGCCCACGGCAGAGGAAATCGACGCCGTGTACAGCTCTGCTCAAGCTGCGATCGGCATGAACATGCAAGCTCAACCTTTCATCCCGGGACAACGCTGGCAGCCGTCTACGAGCAACAACGGTGAGAACGGGTCATACTAAGTAGCAGCGTACGAAAGATGGCATCACGGGTGGCCAGAGGCAGGTTGTGCGAAGGTTGGGGGACCAACTACAACCTGGGGGGGGAGGTTTGTAGGGAGGTTGCAGCCCAAAGCGTGCAAGGTATCCCGCATCTTGGATAGTGGCGTTATTGCAATCAACACGGCGGGCTGCAAGCCTGAAGAAAAAATGGGTTCAAGGTCGAACTCGGCCTCCCAACCTCCCCCCCCCAAGTTGTAGTTCGTGCCCAACCTGCCCCTCTGGCCACCAGTGATGTGATCGGCGAAGAAAGAAGAGAGGGAACATACTTTTAGAGAGAATATCTCTGGTGAGGGGACTACGCGTGGCGCATTTTGTTGACGATCAAGGTCAGTACGCACCTCGTGAACGAATCAGCCCTCTTTCACTCTCCGTTGCCGTTCGCCATAATTGGTTCAAGATCAGTAGAATATGCCATGATCCTGCCAACGATCTGGTCGACTTCGCTGAAACACGGCCGTCCGTCTCAGCCCTCTACAACCCTTCTGCTATCGAAAACAGGTGGCTCCCACAGCCGTGGTGCTGGAGGTCAGGCCCAGTTCCACGTCGAGACGTGTCAGACCGGACGAGGTACCATCCGCCGACACACAACCCCTTCGCTGACTTCAAAGGTGCGTGTCTACACACACACGCAGATAAGCCTGCGTGTGGAAACCACACATGATTCAAAGGACATCTGAAACTCATCTATACAGCCGATCTGCGCCTTGCCCCGATGACTGAGTCCGGACCCGTTGGTGGGGATGTGTACCAGATTGAAGCGGTCTGTGCACCCTACCGTTTACATCAAAACACACCTAGCTTTGCCGAGTCAGGGATATCTGTGCCCGGCGAGACTCACAACCAATATTTTCCGTCAGCGATATTGCAGTCCTTTCAAGGTTTGCCATGGGGACCTGATTCACCGCGATTTGTTCGTATTCTTCTCACTCCAACGTTTCACGTTCTCTCTATCCGGTCGCTTCACGGCAAAAACACGTATTTCGAGATGTCACAACAACCCACCCTACAGAACGACGAGGCGCCGATACAAACACTGTCGACGTCCCGACGACGCGCAGTACTCGCTACGGAGCAACGATCTGACGACAGATGAACGACCACACTTGACGAGGAAGAACGGATACGTAGAGAATAAGTGCAAGATTGTACAGCTGGCGGATCGACGAACATCGACCGGTGGAGATTACTGGTGCACCTGTCTGTGTATTCACCCCAGACCCTTGTTCAATTCATTCCATGACAGAATGCTGCTGTACACCTTGCCCATGAACATGCATGAACCACAGAACGAGGCCAACAGCGTGGCCAAGATGCCTACTACTCAGTCGAGCACGCCCGTGGCAGGGAATGACGAGGAGGATTCCAGGGCCATCGAACCAGTCATCGCGGCCGAAATGCCGGTCGCAAGCAACGAGAACACGCTGGGAGGGCCAGATGTGGCTCATGTGGCGGGCTTGATCGAGGAATCGAAGGATGAGGAGGGCGAAACAGCAGCGGTGGCATCATCAACGGAGTCTTCTTCTTCTTCGCCGACGGGCGGTGACGGACGACACAAGTGGAAGGGGATTCACATAGGGGTCTGGCTGGCCGTTGGTGCTGGCGTCGCTGTCGGGGCCGCTCTCTGGTCTCGACGCCGTTGATGCCATCCGACGAAGGGTGCACTTCTTCTGCATATTCTTCTGGGCTTTATTCCACGGGTTCGCAATGCGTCCGTCCGCCACCTCCATTCAAGTCTCACGAGTTCGAAATCTGTGTCGTTTCATATTTTCCACTACAAATACTCATTCATTTCATTCCTGGCGCGGGGTGCTCCGAGATGTCGAGGTATCAGGTGCGGGTGGCGGATTTATACACGGCAGCATTATCGACGCCAGACATTAGAGATTTGTACCCATCATGAGGGTATCCCGGTTTGAGGGGTATCGCCAAAATGTCTGAAAATACATTCACTTTGTTGTCCCTTGATGGAACGTCGCTTGCGTCGTCAAGTGCGTGCGCACACTTTGACAGCACCATGGGTATAGCAGTCGGTCGGTCCCCTCCGGCGGCATAAAATGATCTGTGCGGAATCGATTCACACATGCAGAGGTTTCCGATCAGCTTTCGCGGTATTATCGTCCCAATCTGGTTATACTCTGCGCGTACCCAACACGTTCTGAGGTAGAACAGCGTCTCGCATCGTTTCGAATTCACTCCATCACATTCACTCTGATCTGATGAGCATGTGTTTCCAGATCCTGCGAAGAGGGCTCGGCCATCCTTTGTCTCCCTCTCTCTTCGAGCACATCTATGTCGTATGAGCCTGGAGACCGCCAAGAGGTGGCAAACGCCCCGAACCCGCCACCCCCAGGGTTAGCTTCGAAAGCTTCGGATGAATATAGCACGCCTGTCGCCCGTCCGACCGAGAAACAAAAATGGTCTGGGCTGGCGAGAACTTTGGAGCACAACATTCACTTCGGAAAGATTGTAGGGGGAGCTGCCTTTGTGAAACCGGAATCTGCTCATATCCGGAGGCTAGCAAATATTTAAAAAACACCTGCCTTGCAAGGCCTGAATTCTCAGAGGCGGCGTGCACACTGCGTTCTGTGGCGGAGTTTCTTCCTCGAACTTTTTCTCTTTTGCATGATACAGCTTCAGTCTTGCGAATCGATAAACGACCCACCCTGCGACCAAGAACGTGACGCCGCGGAACACCTCATTCGCCGACGAACAATATCCATACACGCACGCCAAACGTCAACAGAAACGGAGGGGGGGCAAGATTCACGCGCCGGGAACTGGACAAAAAATACGGGCAATCTCTGTACCGGGCTTCAAAGCTAGCACGTTCGTCCGGAGGGAGGGGTGATACGCATGCATGTGTTGCCATTTACACAACACAACGGCATCCCTTGACCGGCTACAAGGACGACTGAAATCGCTTACGAACCCCGAAATGCGACCAGAAGCAAAGAAAAAATGGCATCCATCCGGCCGAAGAGGGCACGCAACAAAGAACTAACCAAACACAATGCTTGCTCTCTTCTACACTGACAAACAGTTGCAACACCGTGCATGCCCCTGATATCAGAACACGTATCCTCCAGTGGAGAGCTGACGTTCGGACAGTCCGGCGGGGCATTGCCGGCTACCGTTGAGCGAAAAGCAGTGGACATGTCCGTGCCCCGTTGAGCGCGCGTATGCGCGCTTGCCATCGGCCCTCTCGCCTCTGGCATTAGGAATGTTCGTGACGCAATATCACGTTCACCACGCTACAGTCCGTTCGCCAGTTCGAGTAAACATAGCAGCATTGCTTCAGCTTCCTGCACATCAAGAAGCACCAAACAATGGGGCCAATAGGAATTGCAGTGGTGCGCACGGTCGAGTGAATAAATAAGGGCCGCGTATGTTATGCTCAATGCAAACCACACTACCCTGGTGTCCGTCTACGAGCAACCACGGTGAGAACGGATTTTGCTATCAGTACTACGATAGATGGCATATGTATGTATGGTCGGCGAAGAGAGAAGAGAGGGCACATACGTTTAGAGAAAATGTCCCGTCAGGGGACTACATACGCGTGGCGCATTTGGTGACTAGCCTTGTTATACACATCTCGTGAATGAATCTGCCCTCTCACTGTCACCTGGGAAATATCGGCAGAATATTGTGTCACGTCTTCGTGCCAACTATCTGGCCGACTTTCACCCTCTCCAATCCCGATAATGGCAAAAACAGGTGCCTCCCAGAGCCGAGGCGCGTCAGGTCAGGCCCACTTCCACGTCGAGGCAATTCAGACAGGACGAGGTACCATCCGCCGGTACACAACCCCTTCGCTGACTTCAGAGGTGCGTATATCCACACTTAGATGGGTCTGCGGATGGAAACCATTTGTCATGTACACCCAACGGTCACATGAAACTCATATTTTCAATTGTCCCGATGATTAAGTTCGACCTCTTGGTTGGAAGTATGTACATAGCAGTTCGATGCGGCCCATGCGCCATGCTACTCATATCAAAATGCACCTATTGGGCCGTCCAGCCTTGCCGAGTTCAGGAACTTTTCTGTATCCGGCGAGACTCACTTCGATTCTGATGCAGACAGCCATAGTCTAGATTCCAATGTTCACCGTGGCGACTTGACACTGTTGCGCATTCCTCTCGTTGCAGCATATCACACGTCTTCTTCTTCGCCATCCGGTCTCTTCACCGCCAAAACTCGTCTTTCGAGAAGTAACAATCCATCGTGTAGAAAATCAAGGCCCCTAATGGGCAATCAAACCAACCCATATGCCAACGATTACAATGACGAGAATAGAAAATAAAGTGAACGACCAGTTTAGCTTGCAGATCGACCAACAACGGCGGATCAATACATGCGTAGCAGTCGGTGGGTATGGGTGTTCATTCCATACCCTTTGGCCATTCATTTCATAGCTGAACCCTTCCCCCCGTTCCAACCCCCCGTTGTCCGAACATGGACGTGCGTGTATCACAGAACGAGATCAATATTAGTGCAAAGATGCCGGCTGGGTCGAGCATGCCTGTGGCAGACATTGACGAGGAGGACTCCAGGGCCACCGATCCAGTCACCGCGGCCGAGGTGCCAATCGCAAGCAACGAGAACACGCTGGCGGGGCCAGATGCGGCTGATGTGGCGGGCTTGTTCGAGGAAGCGAAGGATGAGGAGGGTAAGACAGCGGTGGCATCTTCAACGGAGTCTTCTTCTTCGCCGACCGGGGGCGACGGAGGACACAAGTGAAAGGGGATTCACGTAGGGGTCTGGCTGGCCATCGGTGCCGGCGTTGCTGTCGGGGCTGTCCTCTGGTCGGGACGGCGCTGAGGCCACCCCACGAAGTGTCGCTCGACAAAAGACGAAGCAGCGAGGATGCGGTGTACATGGTCGTGAATGCACCGTTCGTATCAACACCTTACACAAGGTCAACGTTCTGCAATGACTGAAATGCAGGTTTGTTTCTTCGCTTCAATTGGCTGGCGCAACCTTCGGGTCCCGTTGATTGGAGTATTCCTCTTTCGGAGGTAAGTTATCCTGTGACCACGGGAATCGACCGCGTGAAGCGCTACATAGATCAGTACAGACAGATGAAGGCTGGGTCGGAACGGTTATCAATGCGAAGAACAATCAACGTTCCTGATTTTGAAAATCATAGTATTTTTCCATTTTCATTATTGTGAACAATGGGAATCGTCCTCGACAGGCGTTGGGAGATTGTGCCCTTGATGAAGGGGATACTTGCCACCTCGCGTAGCCTTCTCGGTTGCTAAGTAAGAAGGCTTCAATACTGCAGGTGTATCCCGACCCGATCGACCGGCGGCGAGTCGATTCACATATATATTCACAATCTTCTGAGTGAAATTTCATGGCTTCGCTACGACCACCACGTCGATAGAAGTTACAACGAGTTCCATAGTCATTTCGGGCCCCCACCATTGTTCCTCGGAAACGATTCATGGCGGGCGACGGATTGCATTCACGGTTCGACGTCCTTCAAGCCAGACCTCGGGAGATCTTACCCATTCGGTGGGTATCTCCACATTATCTGTTTGATTTTCACTATGTTTCTGTTTGATGGAAAGTCACCCGTGTCGTCAAATACGTCCGCACCCTCACACGATAGAGAGGACGGTCAGCATTCATTCTTTCGCGTGTTGGCCTCACACCTGTAATAGATGCGTGCATCGAATACATACCACGTGGTGAGGTATTGACTGGAGTCTCGTACCGGTTCGATTTCACTCTCTGATCGCAAGATCGTGTGATTCCTGATCGTGCCAAAGAAGGGTCCGGGCAAAGGTTACGCGTGTAACCGAACTCAACCCGCGAAGGCCCGCAAATCGAACTTGCAAAAGATGTGCTTCGGCGACGTTGGTTAGCGCTTTTGGGGGCGGGTATTCATTCACGGAGAGATCCTCGGACATTGGCTGAGGCATTTGCGCTGTGGCCGGGAAATATACTTCTGCGGGATCCCCGTGGAAGAGCGTTCTCGCTGAGGCCGCCGCTTCTCTCGCTCTCGCTCTCTCTCTCTCTCTCTCTCTCTCTCTCTCTCTCTCTCTCTCTCTCTCTCTCTCTCTCTCTCCCCTTCCCTCCCTCCCTCCCTCCCTCCCTCCCTCCCTCCCTCCCTCCCTCCCTCCCTCCCTCCCTCCCTCTGTGGTCTCAAAGCCCCGGTGTATGGGGTCGAGTTGCTGTTCCGCCGGCTAAAAATCCTCCGGCTTAGGACAAATCTCCCATCCCAGATTTACGAAGCAACGTCGATGTCCGAAATCTCTGAAATCATGATATTTTCTCTCTCTCGACCCAAGGACGCGTATACCGTCTCACGCCCGGGCAAGTGAGGCCAGACCCTTGCAAACAAAATTTAGGGAGGGCGTTCTCGCCAGCGGTGAGCGCCAGAGGCCTGTACTCGGTCCGATCGGTGGGCCAACACAGAACACGCATCCTCCCGAAGTCTCGTGGACGTCCGTCGTGACTCAGGGGTACGGTACGAAACTTAGGGAGGGCGTTCTCGCCAGCGGTGAGCGCCAGAGGCCTGTACTCGGTCCGATCGGTGGGCCAACACAGAACACGCATCCTCCCGAAGTCTCGTGGACGTCCGTCGTGACTCAGGGGTACGGTACGTTGTTCTCTGGACGAGTTTAAACAGCACGAGGATTGTGGTGCCCTAGGCGGGTGCTTACTGCATCTTGGTATCCTTACTTGCAGAGCCAGATCTGGGGTGCTCTGTACTGTCTACGTTGATGTGAGCTTTGGCTTCCCGACCACACAGACGGGCACAAGCTCCACGCCTGTCCCACGGCCTCGAGCAAGGCCTACTCTACGGCAGGCAATCTCTCCAAACCCCGAGGAAAATTTCATTCAGTCAGTCATCGTTCGCCATGAAAAAAAATTGGCACAGCCTGCCTGTTCCCAAACATGCGACACTTGGTTCAAACGATGTACAACTTTCTTGGGTAGGCTCTCTGCTGACCACACAACAGCCCTTTGTCATCCTCGACTCTACAGCAGTTGTCTCATCGTACGGTCAACCCATGCGCTGTCGCATATATATGTATGACCAATGGTCGTCAAGATGTGATAGAAAATGGAAGACTTGATCTTAAAAAAAAAAGGCTATATCGAGCAAGATCGAGACAAATCTTAAACTGAACCATATCTCGGGAGCGAGGGCTGGTCATACAAACAGCAAAAACGCCAGCACCAAACATGCATCCCGTCGAGATACTTCAGCCGAAAGCGGTCGCACGGTCGGGGGGGTAAGACCTACACATCCTCTCCCGCCACACGTCCAAAAATACACCATAGGCAAGCACATGCAGTCTACCAGACAGTATAGGATCGACCAAATACAAGTCTGTTCATCTTCGAGTGTATTTATAGTTTTCGACCCGCGGGTATCATATCCATGCATGCAGCAGGCAAGTCCCTTCCTCAACCCACTATCGAAAGGGGGTTGGGATAAGCGGGGGGCACAACAAACAGCGCTCCTTCTATCTTGTACGTGTGTGTGTCCTCAACGGCTCCATCTACAAAGGGTATCCAAGCTCGGGAAGCTCCCCGTCTCTCCCCGCCCCACCGCCTTCCTTCTGCAATCATGTACAACTCCTCTAGCCATATGCGTACAACATAAGAGCACAAAGACAAAAAATGGTTGCGTATGGTCACCGTCTATTCAACATGCATATTCCAACCCTCAACACGCCTCCGCTTGACAACCAACCGACCGCTACAAGCGTTTCTCCAGGGTACCACCTGCTTCTTTGTGCAGAAAACAGTCATTCACAATTTTCAAGCCCCCCCCCCCACACCGGTATTAATTTCTCTATTCACACCCGGCCGCGATTAACAGCACGGTAACAGCAGTTGTTGTCTTCCACAACACATCACAGCACCACAAATCCTCCCTCCCCCTCCTTGCTTCTCCCTGAGATGCCGGATCAAAAATGAACGCACGCGTTCACGCTATGTCACACTTTCAACGTGCGAAAACCCCTTCCTTCTGGGAAAACCTTCCAACGTGCGAAAATACCTTCCTTTCGGGAAAACCCTACCCCCCCAAGCACTCGGTCTGTGCCGTGAATGTGTGATTCGTAAACCTCAAACCCAGTCGAATCACCCCATATTGATTCCCTAAGATGTTGCAGGGGGGTCCCGCCGAATCTTGAACCATCACCAGGTAGAATGTGGTCAGGCGGCCTGTTCTTGGAGGTGGTTGTGGTGCACCCGGTCTCCGTACATGTGCATGAGGGTGTCGTGGTAATGCTTGATGACCACGTGCCGCTTGGTGCTAAGCTTCTGCGTCTGCATGTTGTTCTCCTTCGTGAAGCCCTCCTCGAGCAGCTCGAAGGTCCTGGGCATCTGAGACGACAGGGGTTTGTTGCGGGTTGGTTTTCTTCATCAGTTGCTTGTTGCAGCCGTGCTTGCTAGACATGTGCGTGTGGTGAGACATCGGTCTGTGGGAGAGAAAAGGGGGCATCCGAAGTGAACATCGCAGCAAGACGCCGTGCCGATATACCAAGTGGCGTGCGGCAAGCATCCAAGACACCAGACAGACACAAACCTCTGCTCCGGCCGTCTGGAGGACACTCCGAATAGACTCCAATTGTAGCCATAGTACTCAGTCAGATTTACTGTTGTGGATCTCGAGCCCCGCTGCTTACGTTCGTCAACCGTAGTGACGCTGTTTGACCATCCAAGACGCAGGTAATTCTCTGAACGCACGAGAGGCGATCAAACACACACACACACACCTCGTACTTCTTGAAACCGTCAAGCGAGAGCGCGATCTCGCCGGCGATGAGGTTTTTGACCACGTCCATCGAGGCCAGCTCCTCCAGCGATGTGCCATCGTTGGCCCTCCCCTTGCTCTCCGCCCAGGATCTCACGAGGTTCCAGTCGGGAAAGACTAGAGCGACGTTGAAGGGACGGTTGTCTCCGAACACAAGAGCCTGAAACGGGTTCAATATTGGTTTGGTTCGGTTATCGGTTCGGTTTGGTTTGGATTTGGTCGGTAGAACCAGAGGTCTCAATGGGGTCAGCACGGAAAGGACGCCTGTCCAGGAATACTTTGGTGTTTTCGTGCGGTATATCTTGCGCCCGTCTACACTTTCCGTGATATAGCCAACGTATCAGCGGGGGTCACACGGCAAGAAAGCACCAAAAGTAAGAATGACGGAAAACTACGCAGTCGGTCGGCAGTCGCACCTGGGTGATGTAGGTTGACGACGTCATGGCCGCCTCGATGGGCCCAGGCACCACGTACTTTCCGTTCTCGAGCTTGTACTGTTCCTTGATGCGCCCGGTGATGCGCAGGTATGTTCCATCGTCCATGCGACCAAGGTCTCCCGTGCGGAAGTACCTGGATTGGATGGTTTTCCAAGCCGTGCCAATCAGGCGTGTTCGGGCGTTAGATTCGGGATATAGGGTCTAAAAATACCCGTTGACACGGTGGCAAGATTCGCAGATTCGATTTTTTCCATACAGTTTGCAACGATCTGATTTCCCAAGCCGCCATGGAAATCACATCAGTTGCGGTGTGAGATTCGGGGTAATTACCCTAGGAGCCAGTGACAAGCTGGAAAAGATTCCGGTTTCGGCATGTACCGCCTCAAGTGCCGAGAACTCCGTTCTTCCATAGTGGACGAGATGCCCCCAACGACATAGCCCCACGCGACGAGCTTTCAGTTTCTCGGGGCGTTTCTCGTCACCCAACGCGCAACAAGCCGTGCTCTTCTGTTACGGTACAACTCGCACCCAAACGTTCATTCAGTTTCATCCCCCCTTCGAGTCTAGGCGGACGAGTTTAGTCACGATCAATATATGAATCTACACGGTTGCCCTCTCGAGATGACAACGTGTAGGCGTACCATCACCCAAACGTTGACCAACACCAACAAGAGATCTGCCGGGTTTGCACGTGCGCTTCCGGGACCGAGCATGTCGTCTACGTGTAGCCTTTAGCTGCTACTGCTTTCGCTTGCCTCTGTCCGTCGAGGTCGAACAGCACCTCCGAGGACGCCTCCGGGAGGTTGTTGTAGCCCTGCATCACGTTGGGTCCGCTAACGCACACCTCCCCTTCCTGTTTCAAAAGATAGGCGACCGTTTCAACAAGCGGCGGAGGGTGCACAGAGCAGAAGGTGGCATCTAGAGCTGAGAACACTTCGGTCGGTCATCTAGGCACTTCGCTCAAGCACACAACCCCAACAAATACCGCGGGCTTGACGCTTCCCTATCGTGTATGCAGCCCTTGCGATATCACTCTGTGCCCCTCTTGTTGGACTGAAATGTGGTGATGCAACCTATTATATCGCAAAAAAAAAAGCTGTCAACACCGCTCCCGTGCTGTCTAACCCCCCGCACACATATGTCGAAATGACTTGTACACGGCCTATCCTTCTTAAGCACTACTTTGTGCGAGGCACAATAGACCAAGCGGTCGGTATCTGCAGTACTCACCTCTCCAGCGGGCATCTCCTCCCCTCCCATCATGATCTTGACATTCACGTCCGCCAAGCAGCGTCCCGTCGACCCAAGCCTTCGGAATTTCTGTTTCAAGAACGACAAAGCGCCAGGCAAGTCAAGCCAAGCCGGGACAACGCAAATTTAAAGGTGGGCAATGAAACTTCTACAACACATGAACGCAGCCAGTAGACATTTTCTCGTGTAACCAAACAATTTGTCTGTCTCGACAACCATACAATATTGAACCGGGTATTCGCCGACTGACCAACAAATCGGGTTCACCATGCATCCTCCCCATCAACCGGTGACACCACCACCACCACCACTCGAAACAACCAACCCCATAGCACAAGGAGCGCAATGTGTCCACCCGCCTGACACTACCACGACAAAAAAACGGCTTCGTCCATTTGCGACACCCGACTACCACGACAAAAAAACGGCCTCGTCCATTTGCGACACCCGCCTCGTGCACGGGCAGCCTTGTAACCTCCCCACCAAGCAGTGGCACCACCACAGCAAGAGGGCAGGCACCACCACAACAATCGAAACCCACGGCCCCCCTCCCTCCCGTCGTGCCCAGCATGTGTGTACCTGTTCGGGCGTGTTGACGGTTACCATCGGGGATGTCTCGGTGAGGCCGTACCCCTCGAGGATCTTGATGTCGATGTTCTCGAAAAAGTTGAGCACCTCCATGTTGGTGGCCGCCCCGCCGACGAAGGACACCTTGAGGTTGCCACCGAACCTGTCCCGGATCTTGCTCAGCACGGCCTGCCGTTCGTCGTTGGTGTAGTGGTTGCGGAAAATGTACGGCATGCCACAAGTTGACAACAGTGGGGCAAGAGAGAGGTAAGACAGAAGACATTACAAAAGTCCAAAAGGGGATCGGACCGACGGAACGAATAGCCCCACTGATGACGTGACGACACCGGTGCAGCAGAGGAACAGATGTACAACCCCAGATGAATGCCATACATGTAGTTATTGTCAACAACAGCAACCCCAGATGAATGCCATACATGTAGTTATTGTCAACAACAGCCCTAGCTAGCACAAGCACACGCGCGGAGGACAGCAAGCGGCGAATCATCAATCTGATATCTCTTCTACTACCATTCTCTGTATCGCGGTATTCCCGCAAGCGACGCGGCCTTCAGGTTGAGGCTGTTTTTTTCAAGGGTTACATCTGCCGCTTCTACTTTTGCAACACGGACTTTCGGCTATCTAGCGACATTGTACCGTTCAAGGGAAAAGGATGGAGTTACTACTAGCAATACAACGTCTGGTGCATATTCTCCACCGACGTGATCGCTGTCGCCGGCCTGACGACGGCATGGAAACGTTTCCTCGAGAGGCGTGTTTCAATCTCACCTGGTCGAGAAGGCGGTGCTGCAGCTCAAGGGCGGCACCCACGGGCTCCCCGGCCTCGATGTGCTTCCTCCGCCGGTGGGCCATCTGAAGGGACCTCTTGAATAGGTATTGCTTGGCCGGGCTGCTTTCGGCTACCTTGGCATGGATGGCGTCGCAGACCCTCTTGAACAGCTGCGGTACGGCGTACAGCAGGGTGGGCTTCACCTCTGCCAGCTGGTCCAGCAGTGCCGTCACGTCCCTCGAGATGCCCATCGAGGCGCCGTGAGCCATCAGCGCGTGGAGCTCCGCCGTTTGCCCGTAGCCTGGCGCAGCCGACCACCAAAGTGAAACTCAAATGAGAAAGCCGTTTGCGTATTTGTTTTACGTCTTGGGGGGGAATGTACGTGGTGGGGGCGTCATAGAAAACGAATACAAACACGTTTCGCCACCGCCACCACCACCACCACCAACAACAACAACAACAACAACGACGACGACGACGACGACGACGACGACGACGACGACGACGACGACAACAACAGCAGCAGTGACATCAGCGGGGCGACGCGGGCACACACTCACAGTGCGCCCACGGCAAGAAGCTGAGGGAGCGATCGTGACACGACACGAGGTCGTCTGGCAGGATGGCCCTGATGCCGACGATGTTGGAGATGATGTTGCCGTGCGACAGCATCACCCCCTTCGGCTTGCCCGTGGTGCCCGACGTGTAGATGAGCGTCGCTAGCTCGCTAGGGTCGGGAATGTACGCCGGCACCTTCTCCTCTTCAAAATCGTGTAGAGCAGGAGGCACGGCAGCAGCGGCGACGAAAGGAGAGGGCAACAATGAGATGACATGTTTCCACCATGAGACGTAAAGCGGCGTTTCGGTGCGCAAGAAGCCTGTTGCGCTATCTATGTCTCATCCGAACGTGTGGAAAGACGTTTCTATTTTCTTCTGGCTTGTGTCTCCTTTTTCCTCCCGAGGATACCCAGCACCACGCATGGCGCTTCGATCCATCAATGGCATTCCTTTCGTGGTTCCTCGCTCCCGGGGACAAGGCCAAACATCAGACACTCGACGGTCTTCGGTAAAAAAACATGACTTCGTAATCATGACATGCGTATATATTAATGCAGATGGTTACTCATTCTTCATGTTTATGAAGTATAAAATACCTCTCTCCGGCCCTTCTCTATCTTTCTCCCCCCCCTCCCAACAGCACCCTCACCAGCATTAGTATCGATAAGGTCCTTGAACGACCCGGGCTGTCCGGCGGGCTGGTCGAAGCAGAACACGTTCTGCACGTTACCCTGCACCCCGGCGAAGTGGAAGGTCTCGCGGTAGATGCCCTTCGTCGCCACAAAGAGGCACTTGGCTCCCGAGTCCTCCAGAATGTAACGCCAGTCTTCAGGGCGCTGTTGTCGCGGCACGTACACCGAAACGGGTTGGCGAAGGGGTTCGCAGACAAGAATCGGTGGGAGGAGGTAAGGGTAAACAACGCGACATTAAGCTGCTCACGTACGTCCGAGTAGCGGCACGGGAAGGTGTGCTGAGCAGTAGGCTAGAAACTTCGTGTGTCTCGTAGATCCTTCGTCGAATATTGCAAGCCCACAGCCCAGTATTCTGTAGATAGGAGGTCGAGGTTTATCACCGTCTGTTCACAGTGGGAAGAGAAGCCGCATCTGTTCAACACACACCGGATCGGACTTGAACTGTCGCCGAGGGCATCGGTGAAACCGGAATGCTCCATACTACATACTTGCGCAGCTGCACTCTGTTTTGCTGCTGCCGAGAGAGTTCATCATCATTTCATCAGCCAACAGCAGTAACATTATTGAAATCTGGGACCGAATGCGAGAATAGTAGTGATTTTTTGGCCGACAAAATTGCTGTTTTCTCTCCCTCTCGATCGGCTCGACCAGAGCTTCCGTTCTGAACAACGCTTCGAAAACAGGGACTTCTCCAATAACTACTGTATTTACATCTCCGTTTTGGGCAAAACGTGATTTGAAGCTGCGGTGCCAAGAAGTAATCACAGTATGGTTTGCGTGCGTCCGCCTCAGTTGAACCAGTGCCGCTTCTTGTGTTCGCAGGTACAAATCGCAACGGCTGTAAATAAAAACGTCAACAATATCAACTGCTGTGTGTAGCCGTTGTGTCCCGGCAGTATCTACACTTCACGCTGCGTACTAAGCAGTGTGCGAACAGCACTTCCAGTGAGTAGCGAAGTGACTTTGAAAGCTTAGAGCGCACGCGTTGATGGAGTCACGTTGATCGAGAACGAGAAAAACTCTTTAAAACTTTACTAATATTCGAACGCCGTCGCCTTGCCGCGCTCGATATTGTATGATAGACATGTACCGCAGACGAGGAAAACGTGCCGTCATGCAGGGCGTAGGCCGCAACATGGCCTATAACGACTGTATTTTGTCTACTTCAACAGCGCACAGTATATGGAGGACTTGTGTGCATACGAACATGATGTATCATATGGATGGACGGAAGAGGGGGCAGACAAGTCGGACCCCCTCCCTCAAGCTCAAGTTGAAGCACTCGACACCTTTCTATCCGATACAAAATTTTTCCAACAACGTTCGCGAAAATTTCGTGGTAACCAAACCTAACTCAGCCGTGATGGGTAAATGCCAGGCTAGAAGGAAAGGTGTCCTTTCCGATCACGCCCCACATTGGCGACGTCAATCCATACAGACTACTTTGTACTACAATACAGTATACACGCAAGAAGACCAAACCCGAACTGATGACCTTGGTCCTGATACACCGCACCGGTAGATTGTCGGCTCGATTCCCAAAACATACGGGATCTCTCTCTCTCGCTCACCTGCTCCTCGTACATAGGCACGAACACTGCGCCCAGGGAGTACGTGGCGTAAGCACACACGGCCCACTCCTCCCGGTTGTTGCTGATGATCCCCACGGTGTCGCCGTGAGTGATCCCCAGCCCGGCCAGCGCGGCTCGGCATCGATCCACCTGCTTGCCGAACTCCTTGTACGTGAGCCACTCGAACGGCGAATCTTTGTCTCCTTTCTGGGTCCCGAAGAGGGGCCGGTTCCCGAAGCTCTGGCGCGTGATGAGGTGCATGTCCACCAGGGTGTCGTAGTCCATGTAGTGCGGGGTGGCGTGGACGGGAGGGCTCGCGGCCGCTGCCTTCGAGCCGAAGTGGTGCCGGGATCCGAGGGCCACTGCCGAGGTACCGGCAAATCCGTTGTGAGAACACGGCGTGGGGTCCGCCCAGGCAGAGGAGAGCGCAGCCAGCGAAGGAGGGCGAGGCCTCCGAGGGAGCCCCCGGGCGACCGAGGAGCCCCCTAACCGTAGTGTAGCCTGCATCGTCTCTCGGAGCGGCTGGTGGAGGTGCTTGTTCCAGTACCTCCTCCTTTCTTCGGCGTATTTCGAGCGAGTTGAAGTTCAAAAGCACAAGGCGGTGTCGCAAGAGAGCGGAGAGACTCAACCCGTGATTCGAACAGGAGCTTTTGGTGTAGTGCGCCTCAAGATAACCAAGCCCGCTTAGGAATCCTTCGTATTGTTTGGTTTTCTATCGCGAGGAAGAACTTGGTGTGGTCTGAGGGTGAGTCGTGTCTCTGTCGCCCCCCAAGGCAGGTTCAACCCAGCAGCAAGGAGCGGGAAGGGGTTCCGTAGCTGGGACAATGCACATACCCCTCATATGATCATGTTACCGTTGGGATGCAAGTACGTATATTTACAATTGCGCCGCGTTGCATCATCACCGATGCCGACACGACGACTGACGCCGACACATCTACACATCTCCGCTAGCAATGAGCACTCAGCTAAGAACGAGTTACATAATTGTTAGCTGGAGAACTGTCGTCTGTGCATCCCCGTTCTTCGCTAGGCGGTGACTGCAACACATGCCCTCTGAGAATGATCTCTAATGCCACGCACGTTAGATGTATGTGCGATCTACAGAGCAGTCTACAGGCTGCTTAGGTGCTGTAGTATCTGGTTGTAGTCTACATGTCTACATGCCGTTCGCCTTCTGTGGTTACATCTCGAATGGGTAGTCTTTCTGTGTTTGTATTTATTTTTCCTAATACTGCTGTTGTCCATTTTTTTCTTCCAACACACGAACGACGTGATTGTTTGGTCATCATGTATGTACTTCTACTTCTGGTCCCGCGAGTTTTCTGAAGAATGAATGTGCAGCCCTCCTCCAGGTTTAGAGGTGATATTGTACGTTTGAATTAGTCTACAGTCTTTTTTTCGGTGATAGCATTATGTGGAACACGCTTCTACACAAGCAACTTGGGATCTTCAAGTGCGGCTGTACGCAACGCGGCTAGCCGCCTGCTAGGCAATCCTACGGGGATGGTTCCTTCGCAGCTGCAGTGAAACGAAGGCTCGCTAACCCGCGTGCCAGCGATAAAACAAGATTTATAGACAACCAAAACCTTGAATGAGATGACGCCTCAGTTGGAAATTTCCCCCCCTTCCTTGGTATTGACGTGCAACTCCTCGACGAGTTTCGTCGGCGTTGCCTGTCTGAAGCTTTCTTTGTTTCTTTTACGGGAAGCCGCAACTGCTCGAGCACGAACACAGCAAAAACAAAGTGACTGAAGAATGACGGCGTCCAGACCGCGATGAAGACCCTGAAACAACTATGTATGGTGCCGACGATGACAAGGCCAAAGAATAAATCCGAAGAAAACCTACGATGACAGGATACTACAATGAAGAAGAACTAAGCGGGAAAGAAGCGCACAAAAAAACGCCTCAAGTAGTTCTCCCCGATGGGCTGACAGGGGGAGACGGCCGGGGCGCAGGGACTCGCGGAGGGCGCAGCACCATCGGTAGCAGTATCAGGGACGAGAGTGGTGACCCCCGACGGCAGGGTTTTCTCCCGGCGGTGGCGGGGGTGGCAGCATCGGCAGCAGCACCGGCGGCGAGAAGAGGGACCACTGGCAGTCATGTGTTCCCCGTGGCGGCGGACGGCCGGGACGCACGCACTCACGAACGGAGCAGCGGCACCACCGTTGATGGGAGCGGCGACGACAGGAGCGGCGATGATAGGAGAGGTTACCGTGACGCTGGCGACGGAGGGTGGACTGGGCTACCGCACGACATGAGCCAACCCGGCAGACGGCGATCCGTTAGCAGCGGTACAAGGTGACGCCTGCGGTCGCGCGGTCGGGGTCTCGTCGAACCGATATCGTGGCTGGGTGTCGGCCTTCATTATCACGCTCGCCGGCTCGTGTAGAGAACGTTTCTGCGCAAAGGAGTTACTCAAGTTCCGCCCGAAGAAGAACAGTCCACGACCGGCACCGAGTGGACAAAACAATAACATTCTCCCCACGCCCCTGTGTATATGCACTACTTCTCTTCTCGCGAGAAAATCTACAATGCCAAGTGTACGTACATACAACATCTGGGTAACGCACGAATACAGCCAAATACTCCTAGACTAGACGAGATCACCCAGAACGGGCTCTGCTCTTTGCTTGCATGCGAGCGGACCCCAGTCCATTAGCTTTCTTTCCTCTCCCCCCAAAATGAGCGGGACAGGAGAGAGATTTTAATTATCTGCGATTCCCATCGAACCATACTCGAGACTCCGCGAGATCTGCATTGTAGCTCGAGATCAGCATTTCGGGCCGGGTCGGGCAAGGGGTGGGGGAGTCGAATGAAACTTCCACGGATATTGGTCTGAGAAGCTGAAGCTAAAGCTTCAGAATTGCCGAGCCTACAGTAAACCCCCTCGTGTTTGCGTAGGCTCCCCTGCCTCCCGCTCATTGTTTGTTCCATCAACAACCACCTTTTTCGATTTTCTTCCCATGGAAGCAAGAACAAACGATGTAGAGACGACAGCAAACACTAAATCCTATGGCTGAGCCGGTGCAAAGAACGCTGGGACTTGAAAAGTCTGTGCGCCGCAACCCATTGAAAAGCAGCCGCGTACTGTGCTGCTGCTGTAGGCTGCTGTGGGAGTGTAGATATTTTTATCAGGAAAAGTAAATGTAGTGTAGATATGCCAGGATTTGAAGAAACATAGACTTCTCATTCAACAACTTGTTTGCAGCGTCATCGCATGAAACTACTTAGCCCTCCATTTATCTAGAGGATGGTGAATTTTCACCGGGCCATTTTACCAACAAGGGCACATTACAGCAACTTCTGATCAACGCGCGTGCGGCCTCATGCCCGAAGTAAATGAGCGTGGATATAGCAGCCCGAACAACGATCAGGCGGTGCTACAGCACTCAATTGAAACGGACAAATGCATCTTAGAGAAATACACAAGGGCATCGACCCGACCCCCCGTCTCGACGGTCCGTCTTCTGTGTCTACTTGTTTCCTCACAATGACATGGACACCTGCTCCTACTGCTTGCATACTCAGCTCCATGTATGCTGCCGCTGCGTGCCCGGTCGTTTTCGTATCGTGCAGCAACATCGTGCAAGGGTCAATCCAACCAAATATAGCCTGCCTTGAATCCATCCATCCATCCCTCACCGGAAAACCCTCCGTCAAACGCTTTTCCCAACACCAACGGTGCTCCTAAATCAGTCCCCCTACTCGTTCCCCTGAAACATGAACCCCTCTCTCAAAACCTCCCCCGCACACCACCCCCTGTAGGCATTAACCGTCCCGCAAACATTGTATCCATGGTCAAAGCGAAGCAACCACGAGCCTGACAAGACGTGACGGTCGCCTCCTCCGGCAACCAAAAACTTACAGAATGAAACCGAAGGCCACGACCTTGCTTTCTCGCTCGTCCCAAGGAAGAACCAACATATGATACGCCCGGCGAAAAAAACAAAACAGTCAACCTGCCGGGGTTGCACCGCTCAAAGTGCGCTCGGCAGCAGAGCACTCCAAGAACATCGAGTTATCAAATCAAGGACGTCCGCGGAACGTCTCTTTGATTGCAACTTACACCTACTTCTTCTTCGGCGACAAGGGTCGACAGACACAAAAGAGAGCTAACCAAAATACCAACCGATCCACACGTGTACGCCATCTGCTTTCTCGCTCGTCCCAAGCAAGTTGGTTACGCCCGGCGAAAAAAACAAAACAGTCAACCTGCCGGGGTTGCACCGCTCAAAGTGCGCTCGGCAGCAAAGCACTCCAAGAACATCAAGTTATCAAATCAAGGACGTCCGCGGAACGACTCTTTGATTGCCACTTACACCTACTTCTTCTTCGGCGACAAGGGTCAACAGACACAAAAAAGAGCTAACTAAAAAACCAACCGATCCACACGTGTACGCCATCTGCGACGGCCAAGCTACCCGACTGCTCATTCACGTCCTGCGGCAATGGATGCCTGCCAAGGGTGAGCGAAATAATCATGTGTGGACACCCTACACGGTACAAGTAGTGCCAAACAACGCTCTACAACAGCTCCATATTTGTCAAGAGTGCTCCCGTTGCCTATCCGCCCACCTACCCACCCCCGGCTCCCAGCGCATAAGCCTTTGAAGTTCGTACATAAAAGGCCTGAAAAGCCGACCAATGATTGGCTACCGAAAACAAAATCTGTCTTCATCGCACCCCCCCAATACTTGTTTTGCCGACCACTACTTTCGGCTAGGCGATCTTGGCCAACCTTACGATGGCGGCGGCGGCGGCGGGGGGGGAGGAGGTGGGACAGGGGGGCGGGCTGCACGGCGGAGGGGGGGGAGACAAGGACAAGCACAGAAGAGGGGGGGGGGGGAGGATTGCGTGTGCGTGACTCTCCAATGTCTTTGGATGGAGAATGCAGACGACGAAGTTTGCTCATTGCTCACGTATCCAACAAGAACGAAATACCGGATATTGACGGGTTTGGGAGGGGTCCTTGGGCGCATTTTCGACATGTTAAACTGTTCTTAAAACAGTACCAGTAGTGTACATCATGCACGGCAAAACACCAACCGTACTTTCGGGCTGTCCAAAATCAAATCAAGCGTAGGTCTTCATCACGCGAAGAACTGGGAAGAGCACAAAAAGAACCACACGCAAATCTGTCTCATCTCACCCTGGGGTACTGGCGGCGGGGGGGGCGGCGGGGGAGGCGGTGCTCCACCTGCAGGGAACGAGGAGGGAAAAGAGAGGAGAGGTTGGGCACGTCGACGTCGTTCTCGCTGACTTTTTTCTTTAGGTCAGGTGCATGACATACCACGCGCCTTGGTTGTGACAACATAATGCCGGCGTCCCTCGTGCCCTGCACATCGGGGATTTTCCTTCTAACCTTACGACTGTCGTTCACAAGGGTGTTGCGGAATCAAAACCGTATATATTGTCTGCACGCTGCTTGCTTCCCCGTTGTTAAACACTGGTGCAATAACTAACTGCCCTTGTCAGTTTGGTTCCGATGCTCGGTCTCTCGCATGGAGATGGGCACGAGGAGCCGTACCGTATCATGATACCACACAAGACAAGAGGCCCACGCAAAGGCAACACGCCCCACACGGTGCCCCACCCATTCAAAGCATATATCCCGCTCAACATGATCCCAAAACAAAAAAAATACTTGATCAAGGGGCCCGGTACATTCAGCCACGTTGCCCTCACCTTGGGGTAGTGACGGCACCGGCGGCGGCGGCGGCGGCGGCGGTGGCTGTTGAGAAGAAGCCGGTATCGGCGGCGGCGGCGGCGGCGGCGGCGGGGGCGGTTGGGAAGCACCCGGCAGAGGAGGCGGAGGGGGCTGGGAAGGAGCCGACTTCGGCGGCGGCGGTGGCGGAGGGGCAACACCCTGTGGGCGGCCAGCTGAAAGGGGAAACGAAAGGAAAGGGGGAGAATAGTTTGTTTTCGTTTGCCTTGGGTTAGAAAGCAGTGGACACCATCGAAGTGCACTTCAATGGCGCGGGGGAAGTTCATATCACTACGCCACTATTGACGATGAAGGGCCAATTAATCGCGCACCAGCACCCCGGGTTGGGAGGTATCCCGGCTTCCGGCAGCATCGGGGGTCATGCCACATCATCCAAAGATCTGGCCAGGACAAATTAACTTGCCTTGTGGCGCTGGCGGGGGCGGGGGCGGAGGTGGAGCCGACGATGCCCGTGGCAGCGGCGGCGGCGCTTGCGAAACGACCGGTGGAGGGGGAGGGGGGCGGGGGGCTCCATCTGGGGGGGCAAGCAGGGCAGGGGACAAGGGGGGGGGGGGTTGACGTTCACCAAACCTGGTAATGAAACAGTTTTACAAATCTACGATATCTCCTTCAAGAATAGCGCCCGCTGCTGCCTTGGTCAAAATTCGAAACTTCCAACACTAGAGCGGTCGTTGGTACACGCTGGGCGGGTGAATGAAGTGGCTGTACAATCATTCCCCCTTGATCGCCATCGGCTGATTCGTCTACAGCATCTCTCGGAACAAGACGGCTCCGGATGACGGCGATACGACCCCGTTGATACCCATCCGGATACGGCAACAATACTGCAGTCAACACTCCACCCTCGGCTGTGATGCCGTCCCGAGCAAGAAAGGACAGCAGTGTCAGGCCCGAGGGCCGAGTGTCCACAGCAGCCTTGTTGCCGTATCAACTGGGGCGCATCATCAGATCGAAGCCGTCATGTGTTGGGAGGTACTGTACATGCATCAGGCTCTAGCATCGACCGGATGGAGTTCATTGTACAGGCACTTCATTTCAGCACCCAATGTGTTGTTGCACACGGCAGGGCAAATGCCGTTCTCTCTCCTTGGCGCCAGCTCTTGACCATGAAACATCAGGTCACTCCAGCAGCTCTCGCACGGAGCCTCGTGGCCACAACACAACACAAGGATAGCGGAGGTACACTCTGTCGGGGCACGGGGGGTGGGCATGGCATGGCACAGACGTAATGGAGTCGCAAATCGCGAGCCATAAAGTCATACCATCTGTTCATTGTGTTCCGCCCCACCCGAAACAGAAATCACTCTCCTAACATCGGGATATCAAAAATAACGATCCTGCAAACCCAACTGACTCGCAGGCTAACTCGTCGTACCGAGACACTGACTGCACACACCAACAGCAGCCGAAAAAAATAAGGTGGTCATCGCACTCGCCTTGCTTAACTGGCGGCGGGGGCGGCGGGGGGGGCGGTGGAGACGCCGCCGCTTGCGAAGAGGCTTTCGGCGGCGGGGGAGGGGGCGGAAGAGGAGGAGCGGGCGTCTGCGCCTCGGGTACCGAAAAGAGCGACGACGCCGGCGGCTGCTGCTGCGGCGGCGGAGGCGGCGGGAGCGGCTTACTCCCTCCCTCAGGCCGGGAGGACACGCTCGACATCGAGGAGCCACGGCCCGCCTGCGAAAGCAACGGCGGTGGCGCTCCCGGCTTGGCCCGCGACACGAGCGGAGGCGGGGCCCCGACCGCGCCGCCCGCCGGCCGTGCTTGCTTCGCCGACAGGCGCTTGTTCATCACGACGGGGTCGCGGGCGGGCGGCGGCGGCGCCATGGTCGGCACCGGGACCGGAGCGACCGCCTTCCGAGCCGCGGCCGCCAGGTCCAAGCGGTCCTTCTTGCTCGCGCTATCGCCGCCGCCGGCCGCTGCTTCCCTCGGCGAAGCCGCCGGAGAGGCCGAGGAGCCGTCGGGCTTAAACGACCTGGGAGACCCGCCGCCATCGCCGCCAACGGACGGAGAAGGCAGGTCTGATATCCCGCCCACCCTCGAAGAGGACGGGCTGCTGTTGTGCTCCCCCCACATGTCGGCCGTTTCCGCGACGCTGCCCGCGTCCCCCAACCCCGCGGCGGCGCTCCCAGGCAGCGTACCCGAGTCCGAAGCCAGAGACAGCGACGACGGCGGCTCGTCGGCGTAGATGCCCCCGAGCTTCTCCTTGAGAGATATCCGGCGCCGTGGGGGCAGCGGCCGGCACTTCGTCGGCCGCTCCGACCCCGTGAGCACGACGATCTTCTGCCGCGCCGGGGTCTCGCCCGCGGCCCTTCGGAGCTCGAGGAGGCGTGTCGCCGCGCTCTGCTCCCGGGCACGGTTGAGCCGGGTCTTGGCAATGACAACGTCCGACGTCACCTTCTCCACGGCCTCGGCCTGAGGGCGTGTGCGTATATCGACATGCAACGAGGGAGTTGCGGCGACGACGGCAAAGGAAGCCGGGTCGGCGGAGGAGCTTTCTCTCGGGGCTCGACAGGAGAAACGTTCTTGGCTCAACGGTGCGGGTGACAGACAGTGCTTGGAACAGCCCCGGCGGTACCGCGTCAGGCAGCTCGATTACTGCTGCGTACACTAAATCTGACTCTTGTCGAGCCTCTCTTCCCAAACCTCGACCGCCGGTGCCTTCTACTCTACTGCGGTAGAATACTAACTGGTACAAACTACTGTTATGACGAGACGGATCGAAAGTCCACGCTCGACAAGCATAGGACACGACACCCCCGTCTCCAAAAACCAAGTCTTAAACTACAGCTCGATGATGGAACGCGAACGCGAACCTTTTCATGTCTACGAGATGTGCTTCACCTGTGCGTTGACGAAGGTCAAGAGATTGATGGCCATGTCCTCGATATCGGCCACAACCGATCCGAGGGCGTCCTTGAGGTACTCCTCCGTTCTCAACCATACCTTGCGAAAGAAAAATGAAAGGCGATCACGGCAAAACCAAAGAGATTTGCATGCGACGTCGTAAGCGCAAGTATTTCGGCTCGCGGAATGCCCGCTACCTCACCCTCCCCTGCACACATTCCACTCCGACCACGTCAGCCCCTCAGAATGGTCTGGTTAGTATCAATAGCCGACGCGCTCACGCCCACATTTTCCACACAACACACTCATGAGAATACAACAAGTCTAGGGTAGTCCAATACTCGTCAGAATCCAGGAAACCCAGACTTCCGGAGTTTGCTGGCGATCGCGTGCCTCTCCTCCCCGGATTATCCCGGAACCCTGACATCGTGGTAGTGACGATACCTTGTCGTCTTGCCGACGAGTATAAGACCACCCGAGACTTGTTGTGTATAGCACATACTGCTCCGGGTTTCGAACGTACTGTCACACTGGCACACTAGCCGCGGTTGCGACGACCTTCCGTGTGCTGCTGCTGTGTATCACGTCTCTGTACACCGACCGCAACGGACGGTGCGATAGCCCCGCGCCCACGCATCCGCCAGGCGCCTGCATCGCTACCGCGCGTGCGCGAATACGGCTCCATGTTGGGCGCTCTTGCCTTTCCACCCCCCGGTCGTTCACATGCACGGCGTCCCCTATCGAACATAACCCAACCCCAAGTATTAGCCGTTGACGAGGAGGGGGTAGGTATATAAGGAAGGACCGGATGTATGCATATTTCTATCTTTGCACGGAAAGACCTTTACCTCTCTCTTGTTGGCACCCGGCTCCAGGTAAGAGCTTTCGCAATAGTCCACCACCTGCGTGTTCACGTCCGTACATCGCCGGCAGAGATGGGCGAGCAAAAGCAAGGTTTGGGTAAAGAGCCTGCCACCCATTTACGAAACTCTTCGTGTTGCACCACCACCGCTCCGTATTCGATCAGTGGGGAAAACCAACAGCGAACCTGTACAATAAGTGAAACAAGTGTGGGTGAGTAAAGTTAAAGTTTCTTTCTCTTCATGAAAATCGGGCCCTTCGACTTCTTAACCACTAGACTAAAGTCTTGCGTAGTGACGGGTTCTTGTGTGTAAATTCGTTTTCTCAAGTTGCTGGTGATACACAATATCGCACGAGTGTCACAGGGTTGTGGCCATCACAATCAGCTCAAGCGAGAGCCGACAACGGAGCAACGAGCATCCATTTCCCCCCTTTCTGTGGCAACCTTTGCCGTCTGCGCCCGTCTGTGTTTGTTGTCGTGGCTTCTGGTCGTGCTTGGTCACGACTACAAATCTCATCGAACAGCAAAAGAACACACAAAGAAGGAGACTGGGAAAAGGGGAAAGTAGCGCTGCACATATTGTTGGTGTAGTCTGCATAGAAGAAAAGCCGTTCCGATGCCTCTTCCAACATCCGTACTGGTCCATCTGTTGTCCCGGGTGCCTCCGTTGTCACAAGCAAACGACCATTAGAGGTTTGCTGTACTCTTCACAGAGACATGGAAAAAAAAAAAAACATAAAATGTAAGGAGGATCCAACACAAAAGTGTGGGAAACGGTCCCGGCGTCCTTCCATACACTCGGGCAACCACTTACCTACAAGTAGAAATACAACCCGGTGCAAGGCTGTAGGTATATTGTACAACGACAGGGTGGGTGCTGAAAAGGCACGAAACATGGGCTGTTGGCTGGCCCTCTTGTGTGCACGTGTGAAGTGCACGTTCTGGCTCTGCTGTGGGCAGCTTGTAACTGACCGTGTGTGTGTTTCCCTTCATTTGGCTGACCAATGACAAGACGTCAGTCTTGTGGTTGGCCATGAACGAGAACACGAGTGTGGAATATGTGTGTCCTCAAACACTTGCTCGAGGCAACTATCAAGGTTCTAGCGGAATCCGCTTGTGATCACGAAATGAGCTCCTCTATCTCTCTCTATCCCCCTCTCGCCCAACGCTTGGGTGACACACACGCCTTCACATTCATGCTTTTTCAAACCGTAAAACGCCGCCTTGGCCAAACACACAAGTTGAACTTGTTGCGAAACCTAAATGATTGATCGATCCATCTGGCAAGAATATGCATAACGGTCTATATTGTTATTCAAGCAGTGATGTTGGTTGGAGTAGGCATATCACGTCTATGGTGTTGTTCATCCTACTACACAGCAGGACACGTCATAGATGAATTCCGCCCTACAGCCCATCCCTATGACAAAATGGTAAAACCCCCAACAAGAAAGACAAGAAAGCGGGGGTCTCTCTTGGGCAAAAACTAAAAACCTGACGTACGTTTGTGTGTGCACAAGCGGCTTTTGCCTAAAACAACTCAAAGCAGCGATTGCAACACGTGCGGAATCCTGGACGGTCTTTCCTAGAGCGGAGTGAAGGCGACAAACACACAAGGGAGCTCCCTTCCGCCTGCAGAGAAAAGTTGCACACAACATAATGTACGGTAAGACGTGGGAAAACCGAGATAGATGTCACGGAGCCTCTTCGAGCGGAAATGGAATCTGGGGGCTACGTTTTGCCAGAGGGTGTGTGAGGTTCCTAACGTCTGCCATATCGGCCGGGGGCTGTCGCTAAACGACCTCTCAGTCCTTGCCAGGAGAATGCTTGGTAGTGGGAAGTCTTTCATCATGTGGGCTCTGTCCTTGTCTCTCCCGCTTTCGACACAGCAGTCTCTTTCCATCCGATTATGTTGCAATGGTATGTATGCAACGGCAGCTGAAAGGGGTGGTGCCTCACCTGGTCCACGCTGCCCTTCTTCTCCTTGAGAGCATCAAGAGCGAGCTGTATCGTTCCCCCGCTCCCTCCCAGCTGGTTCATCTCCTCCACCCCGTTTCTCTCCATCCCTCCTCAGGCCTCCTGCGGGAACAGCGCCTCCTCCTCTTCCTCGAGCTCGTCGTCTCTCCCCCTCCTCTTTCGGCGCACCCGGTACGTCGCGTGCAGCTCGCCGCGGTCGTCCGCAACTTCCGCCTCCACGCCAATCCTGACGCAGCACCAGCAGTACGACTGCCGCAGCAACACCACCAGTATCAGGATCGCGAGCAGGGTCTCTATCGCTTGTTGCGGAGTGGCGGTCAAGTCAGGAATCACCACCCGCATCGCGGTACATCAACGAGAAGGTTAGTCACTCGCAAGAACCGCTACCGTTATGCGGCAGGTGAGGTGGGATGATGTGAGACGGTCAACTTGAATTTCACAGAATTAGGGTACCCCGCAAAAACAGTCTGCGGGTGCCCCCATGGGCGAATCATCAGTGACTTCACTGACCAACTCAGGACACAACTCTCGCTGGAGGTGGAAAGGTTAAGGTTAGGCGCGTTCGGGGAATCCCTGTCGCTCAGCTAAGTCCAGCGTGCCACGATCCACTGCAGCAGTGCCTACATACTGCCGGGTGTCAGCAGAGGTTGCAGCTTTGGAGAGTCAGCGAGGTGGAGAATTCGATTTAAACGTCGCTGCTGTTGTTGTCGCGCTGAGGTGCACGCGGCGCCTGAGAGGCTTTTGCATCAGAGCCTTGGTATCCGGGATCCATGGCGCCGGTCGGCTTAGCCTACGTCGTGGCTTTCCTGCAAGCAAGCGGTGCCAACGCATTGCTGTTCGGCGTGTCGCATTACCCGCACCTGCGGACATCATGTGAGTTTGTTGTGTCTGTGTATTACGTGTTTGCCGGAAAAGAAACATGAATCTCCCTCGCGCTCTCGCTGTGACCGACCGTGTCGTCGCACTTCAATGCACGCCACAGCCATCAGCACCAGCACCAGCACCAGCGATTCCATCGCTTGCCGAGGCAACATGCGTGTGTGCTGCTGTTGGGCTTGAGCCTGTTGGGGGAAAAGGGTGGCTGGCAAGTAATTCGCTTGCAATTGCGAGCCAAAAGGGCGAGAGGGAGAGCTCCACTACCAAAATATACCAGTATATCCGTGAATGTATCTACCAGGAGCGGGATGTTTGAGTTTCGCTTGCTCCGCCCAGCCAGGCGGTGTTTCATTGCTGATGTTGTACGCATCAACCCTTCTTCAAGGAATCAACCATTGGTAGTCACCACAGCGTTGGCGGCCTGCTCCCCGCCCCTGCCGCTGCGGATGATACCGGTAGGGGGGGAGGGGGCGAACTACTTACAGAAATGAGGGAGTCTTGGCTATACACCCGACCATGCTCTTGCTGTCTACTGTAGACTATCTCACACACAAGCTCACGGCTAGGTGGTGCTGTTTGAATCAAAAAGCGTGAAGGTGTTGACAACAGCGCAGATACATATCCTATCCATTGTACCGCGTGGATACCTTCGTAGTTGCGGTGTGGGAACAACAGCAGTCGGGGCACGCTACGAACTACTCGTTGGTATGCCACGTTTTTAAACTTGCGCAGAATGGCGCATCCACGCCAGGAAGCATGTATTTTTCAGTGTCACCACAAGGACTGAGGAAACGGTGCAGCGATTCACGTGGGCTAAAGAACTCGAGCGCTTTGGTATTATAGTTCGTTGGCACCAAATATGCGAGAGGTGCTCCAGCTGTGCACACAGGACAAGTACGTCCATACCATGGCCTACTGCTGTAGAGGGTAGTGAACATCGATTGTCGGTGCTGTTCCTTAACATGCAAGGCACAGAAGTATCGTCGCAGGTTGCCTACATCCAATGGTACTGATGCCATACTCCATGAACCGATTTTCGATTTTCGATTACTGCAGCGAAACAGTGACTGTACCGAAATAGGGTTAGTCTCGTCTAGAGTTTTCCGAAATCGAATGCATCCTTCCGCTGACGCCAAAGGTGGATTTGGGCTTGAGCACGACAGTCGATGGAGCTCTTGCAGTCAGCAAGGTGTCCTCACGATGACCAACGACAATGGAAGAGGGGACGTGTTGTCGACACATTAATACTTGCTCTCGGTATGTAGGCAATGACGAAACAGCGTTAACGGGGGAACCCAACAAAGGAATAATATGGATGCCTTGATGCCAAACGTGGTTCACCCCCCCCCGTAGTCGCACCATCGAAGCAGCACAGCACCGTTTTAGACCGTCCTCGAGAGCTAACGTCGAGGTCTCTCGCACATCTCTAACCGAGATTTCCTAGAACGAAACAGCCGTGTTGTAGTTTTCTGGGAAGATCGCAAATTTCTTAAGTTTCCCTGCTCTGAACGGCAGCCTCATGACTAAACCCACATGCCTACTTTCTTGTCTGCGTCTCCCCACGGGGGGGGGGGGGGGGGGGGCCCCCCGGGCCCCCGGGTTGCCCCAAGGAACCCCCCAAAACCCCCCGGGGTTGGAAAAGGGGGGGGGGGAAAAGGGGAAGGGGGGGGGGGGGGGGGGGTTTCCCCGGGCCCGGGAAAGGGCCTTTCAACCAAAAAAAGGAAGGGGGAAAGGGGGGGGGAGCGGGGAAAACGGAGGGGGGGCCTTGGCCCCCCCGGTACCGGCCCTTCCAATAACAACAACCGCGGGGGGGGAGGGGCGCCCGGTTGGGGGGGTTTATTTTAATTTTGGGGTTAAAGGAGAACGAGGGCCCTTTCGGGGCAGGAAGGACACCCCGGGGAAACAAATGGGATTTGGGGGGAAATTTTTTTTTTTGGTGGCCCTTCCCCACTTTTTTCTGGGGGGCTCC